TTGGTTCCTACAGCAAAAATCCAGAAACCGAACGTCTGTGTTTGGTTCCTACAGTAAAAATCCAGAAACCGAACGTCTGTGTTTGGTTCCTACAGTAAAAATCCAGAAACCGAACGTCTGTGTTTGGTTCCTACAGTAAAAATCCAGAAACCGAACGTCTGTGTTTGGTTCCTACAGTAAAAATGCAGAAACCGAACGTCTGTGTTTGGTTCCTACAGTACAAATCCAGAAACCGAACGTCTGTGTTTGGTTCCTACAGTAATAATCCAGAAACCGTGCCTCTGTGCTTGGTTCCTACAGTAAAAATCCAGCCACCGAACGTCTGTGTTTGGTTCCTACAGTAAAAATGCAGAAACCGAACGTCTGTGTTTGGTTCCTACAGTAAAAATCCAGAAACCGAACCTCTGTGTTTGGTTCCTACAGTAAAAATCCAGAAACTGTGCCTCTGTGCTTGGTTCCTACAGTAAAAATCCAGCCACCGAACGTCTGTGTTTGGTTCTTACAGTGAAAAAACAGAAACCGAACGTCTGTGTTTGGTTCCTACAGTAAAAATCCAGCCACCGAACGTCTGTGTTTGGTTCCTACAGCAAAAATCCAGAAACCGAACGTCTGTGTTTGGTTCCTACAGTAAAAATCCAGAAACCGAACGTCTGTGTTTGGTTCCTACAGTAAAAATCCAGAAACCGAACGTCTGTGTTTGGTTCCTACAGTAAAAATCCAGAAACCGAACGTCTGTGTTTGGTTCCTACAGTAAAAATGCAGAAACCGAACGTCTGTGTTTGGTTCCTACAGTAAAAATCCAGAAACCGAACGTCTGTGTTTGGTTCCTACAGTAAAAATCCAGAAACCGAACCTCTGTGTTTGGTTCCTACAGTAAAAATGCAGAAACCGAACCTCTGTGTTTGGTTCCTACAGTAAAAATCCAGAAACCGAACGTCTGTGTTTGGTTCCTACAGTAAAAATCCAGAAACCGAACGTCTGTGTTTGGTTCCTACAGTACAAATCCAGAAACCGAACGTCTGTGTTTGGTTCCTACAGTAAAAATGCAGAAACCGAACGTCTGTGTTTGGTTCCTACAGTACCGAAACCGAACGTCTGTGTTTGGTTCCTACAGTAATAATCCAGAAACCGTGCCTCTGTGTTTGGTTCCTACAGTAAAAATCCAGCCACCGAACGTCTGTGTTTGGTTCCTACAGTAAAAATGCAGAAACCGAACGTCTGTGTTTGGTTCCTACAGTAAAAATCCAGAAACCGAACCTCTGTGTTTGGTTCCTACAGTAATAATCCAGCCACCGAACGTCTGTGTTTGGTTCCTACAGTAAAAATCCAGAAACCGAACGTCTGTGTTTGGTTCCTACAGTAAAAATCCAGAAACCGAACGTCTGTGTTTGGTTCCTACAGTAAAAATGCAGAAACTGTGCCTCTGTGTTTGGTTCATACCACACATTCCAGAAACCGGGCCTCTTTTTAGTTCTTACAGTGAAAAAACAGAAACCGAACGTCTGTGTTTGGTTCCTACAGTAATAATCCAGAAACCGTGCCTCTGTGTTTGGTTCCTTCCAGAAACCGAACGTCTGTGTTTGGTTCCTACAGTAAAAATGCAGAAACTGTGCCTCTGTGTTTGGTTCATACCACACATTCCAGAAACCGGGCCTCTTTTTAGTTCTTACAGTGAAAAAACAGAAACCGAACGTCTGTGTTTGGTTCCTACAGTAAAAATCCAGAAACCGAACGTCTGTGTTTGGTTCCTACAGTAAAAATCCAGAAACCGAACGTCTGTGTTTGGTTCCTACAGTAAAAATCCAGAAACCGAACGTCTGTGTTTGGTTCCTACAGTAAAAATCCAGAACCCGTTGTTCTGTGTTTTGTCGTGTGATTTTCATTCCAGAAACCGAACGTCTGTGTTTGGTTCCTACAGTACAAATCCAGAAACCGAACGTCTGTGTTTGGTTCCTACAGTAATAATCCAGAAACCGTGCCTCTGTGTTTGGTTCCTACAGTAAAAATCCAGCCACCGAACGTCTGTGTTTGGTTCCTACAGTAAAAATCCAGAAACCGAACGTCTGTGTTTGGTTCCTACAGTAAAAATCCAGCCACCGAACGTCTGTGTTTGGTTCCTACAGTAAAAATCCAGAAACCGAACGTCTGTGTTTGGTTCCTACAGTAAAAATGCAGAAACCGAACGTCTGTGTTTGGTTCCTACAGTAAAAATCCAGAAACCGAACGTCTGTGTTTGGTTCCTACAGTAATAATCCAGAAACCGTGCCTCTGTGTTTGGTTCCTACAGTAAAAATCCAGCCACCGAACGTCTGTGTTTGGTTCCTACAGTAAAAATGCAGAAACTGTGCCTCTGTGTTTGGTTCATACCACACATACAGTAAAAATGCAGAAACCGAACGTCTGTGTTTGGTTCCTACAGTAAAAATCCAGAAACCGAACGTCTGTGTTTGGTTCTTACAGTGAAAAAACAGAAACCGAACGTCTGTGTTTGGTTCCTACAGTAAAAATCCAGAAACCGAACGTCTGTGTTTGGTTCCTACAGTAAAAATCCAGAAACCGAACGTCTGTGTTTGGTTCATACAGTAAAAACCAGAAACCGTCTGTGTTTGGTTCCTACAGTAAAAATGCAGAAACCGAACGTCTGTGTTTGGTTCCTACAGTAAAAATCCAGAAACCGAACGTCTGTGTTTGGTTCCTACAGTAAAAATGCAGAAACCGAACGTCTGTGTTTGGTTCCTACAGTAATAATCCAGAAACCGTGCCTCTGTGTTTGGTTCCTACAGTAAAAATCCAGCCACCGAACGTCTGTGTTTGGTTCCTACAGTAATAATCCAGAAACTGTGCCTCTGTGTTTGGTTCCTACAGTAAAAATCCAGAAACCGAACGTCTGTGTTTGGTTCCTACAGTAATAATCCAGAAACCGTGCCTCTGTGTTTGGTTCCTACAGTAAAAATCCAGCCACCGAACGTCTGTGTTTGGTTCCTACAGTAAAAATGCAGAAACCGACCGTCTGTGTTTGGTTCCTACAGTAAAAATCCAGAAACCGAACGTCTGTGTTTGGTTCCTACAGTAAAAATGCAGAAACCGAACGTCTGTGTTTGGTTCCTACAGTAAAAATGCAGAAACCGAACCTCTGTGTTTGGTTCCTACAGTAAAAATCCAGAAACCGAACGTCTGTGTTTGGTTCCTACAGTAAAAATCCAGAAACCGAACGTCTGTGTTTGGTTCCTACAGTACAAATCCAGAAACCGAACGTCTGCGTTTGGTTCCTACAGTAAAAATCCAGAAACCGTGCCTCTGTGTTTGGTTCCTACAGTAAAAATCCAGCCACCGAACGTCTGTGTTTGGTTCCTACAGTAAAAATCCAGCCACCGAACGTCTGTGTTTGGTTCCTACAGTACAAATCCAGAAACCGTGCCTCTGTGTTTGGTTCCTACAGTAAAAATCCAGCCACCGAACGTCTGTGTTTGGTTCCTACAGTAAAAATCCAGCCACCGAACGTCTGTGTTTGGTTCCTACAGTACAAATCCAGAAACCGAACGTCTGTGTTTGGTTCCTACAGTAAAAATCCAGAAACCGAACCTCTGTGTTTGGTTCCTACAGTAAAAATCCAGCCACCGAACGTCTGTGTTTGGTTCCTACAGTACAAATCCAGAAACCGAACGTCTGTGTTTGGTTCCTACAGTAAAAATGCAGAAACCGAACGTCTGTGTTTGGTTCCTACAGTAAAAATGCAGAAACTGTGCCTCTGTGTTTGGTTCCTACAGTTAAAATCCAGAAACTGTGCCTCTGTGTTTGGTTCCTACAGTAAAAATCCAAAGACCAAACCTCTGTGTTTGATTCTCGCTGTAATTCTGAATAAGGATATACGTATAGTGTCTACTGTTACTATGTATAGAGATATGTTTTGCACAGTGTAAACATCTGCAATCTGTTATATATATTATTTCCCACATCATTATTCACATGTATCTTTTTCTAACGTAGTCAGGTCTGTGACAACAAAATTCTTAATACCCCTATGCCTTATGACTTATTCTGATCTATGTTTAAACATAATGAGTTCTGGAGGGATACTGAGGTAGACAATAGGATATATTTTTCGTGAATATGTAAACACAAACACCTTATTTTATTCCCTTGATCGTCAGATATACACGTGTACTTGACGTTCAACTAAAATTATCTGCTATATAAAAAGCACAAAATCTCCTGAATTATGGGGTTAATGTACACCCCCATCTAGATTTTACACTAGTCCCAGAATGACGGAACAATTGTATGATGCAGTTAAATTCATTCTTTGCCTATACTATCAAGATTTGTATTAAATAGTGCTATTCATTTGTGTGTATTGTGTACAATTTTCAGATAATTTCGTTTTTCAACAAAAATTTTCAAAACGAGAGTCTAGTGTGCTTATCACCGTGACACATTTACCAGTTTGTGTTATTACAAGGGACCTTTTACAAAAGGTGTGATTATGCTGCGTTTCACAGACTTATATGAAGGCGAACTCGGAAAAGACCTGGTAAGACTTTGTGTAGCTATCGCTCAAACACACTACTGTTTCAGTTGCACGAAATCGTCAAAACATCCCTAAGAACAAATAAAAATAAAAAATAACATCATTGTTATCTTTTCAATCTAACTGACCAGGACAATGTTATTTATTCGCCGGACAAAGATGGTCGTCGTTGAGTCGACGCAAGCCCCCAGTGAGACAAAACAAATTAACCCCACACTCGTAAACAAAGTTAATAGCTCTCATTGATCTGTCTTCAGTGGCATTCACGTTAAAAAACGAGTGTATGCATTGTGCATTATAGTAACAACTGTTTCACCGGGATGTACAATGCTCTTTAGTTTGCATCGCTGCGTCCGTGCTTTAACACTGAAATCATCATAACATTGTGTTCTAAACTTAAAATTTAGCTGATAAATGAATGGTACTAAGTACCTCTAATATAAGATGTGCAAAATCAAGTTATGAAAACTGATTACGTCGTAGATGTACTTCTACTCGATCGCGAACGTAGTAATTCTACATGAGTCTCACGTAGAAAACTTTCCAGCGTCAAGCGTTTTGTACTTCCAGATTTACAACCAATGAAAATATCAAGAAACGTTTTTCTGAAATATCTGTTAAAAGTTATGTAGATGATGAAATTAAAAATGGGGCTACATGATGTTATAAACAATGTGTAATGTGTGTAGACATACCAGGAAGGAGTAAACAAGAGTGAACACATTCTAAACTCCAGACAAGAAAATGTAGCACACATATATACAACCAAGGGAAATTCACACACCATAAATGCTAAAACCACCCAAAGTGTGATCACAGACAGGGACCGAGACGAGTTGCGGGTAGACGATGACGATGCGGTCTTCAACGACCTTGACCTCTGTAATGTTCTTAGAATAGCTGGTTCGAGACAAATAAGAATGACGAACGGAATAAAAGTAAATAAAATAGGGTGTATATACCACAACGTGAAGTTGGATATCACTATACTGCAGGCCGATACTGTCACATTGGCATTGTAGAAGGATCGTGTTTCGATGATATAGTAAGAATGAGAATAAATTTGAAAAGCTAAATATATACCTGAACATAGAAAGGAAAATAGGATGAATATCATGGTATTTTTCTTAGAGCAGATGCGCTTTGCCACAAATGGATAAACAACACAAATATATCGATGACCAGCAAGTCCAACGATAATATAGTTAGATGTATAATGAAAAAACACCGGTAAAAAGTTGTACATGAATGTGTACACCTCACATATTCTGTAAGGGAGATAATCATAATAATCCTCATAGTAAAACACATACACACTGATAATACCCATCATCAAGCTCGACAGCATGTCGCACACGCATATACTCAGCAGCAACATGTGCGTAGAATTTCTTAATTTGTTCTTCAAGAAAATTCCTGCACTGCAAGTATTGCAAACAACAACAATGCTGACTAGAATCGGTATTATGTATTTGTAAAACACGATAACTTGTAGGTTACTCATTTGAAACAGAACTGGAAAAAGGGTGTTTATCGGAATCATATCAGCCCCTAACATGGTCATATTAACAGTAGTGGTATTTGTTGTGTTCATTTTCATTAAAGAGTCAACTACCGTGAATTTCCCCTTGTTAACAAGTTGTTAAACAGAGATATACAGATTGTCTTTTTCTATTAGATTCTTTAAAATTATTAAAACATATTTTAGATATTCAAAGTCAGAATTATCGCAATATTGCAAAAGTGATTATAATAACAATTTATCAATATATTAGAATATCTTGGTAGTATGTAATATTATCGTGTATGTTTTAAGTTCAGACAATTACTAAATGTTTACATATAAGGTCTAAACGAATATTGATATCGTTTGACCTTCACTCTAAACAATAATTGTATCTACCGCTTTAGAAAACAGCTTTTAAATCAATTCAAGTGCTTTGAAAGTTCTTTTGTAATTAAAACAACCATTTTGTGCATTGACTAAGAAATTCGCAATATTCACAATTAAATCTTTTACAAGCGTTTTGACTCTTGTACTTAGATTTCTGACGTCAAAAACATGTACTTGTAAAAAAAAAAAAGTGATCAGACACCAAACACAAATATAGCAAATATTATTTATCATCCCATAAATAAAGTTGTACTAACTTATGTTTCCTAGATAAATATTGTGTTGCTTTTTTGTCTTGGCCGATTTCACTGATCAATTCACATAAACAAAAAATAAATTGACTGTACAAAGATGAACCGCATCGACGTTTGCGTGATATGACCGATGGTGACTGTCTATGTTGAACAATGATCGCACAGAACCCTGTCTTGCTATCCACAGCAAACTTGCCACAATGATCACGATGACATCATCAATCTGAAACATAAAAGTCTGTATAAATCACAGGTTAACTCGTGTCCTTATTCAGAACTGCATTGTTCGTGCACAAGACATCCATATACACTAGTGCTAGTACAAGACCTTGTTTAATGATAATGGTAGCTCATTAAGTAACAAATTGTACGTAATTGTAGGTTTACAAGAAATCCTCGAAGTAGTTCAATTACAACAACTTTATTACCTTTCCATATGTTAATAGGATCGGACTATAGGCTATGCCTGTGTACGTCTTTTTCAAATCTAGTGCATGAATTCAATCCATTAAATTAGGTTGATTAAGTTAAAACAGGTAAGGGGAAGTACCTATCAAATTAATATAGTGTAAGTGAGTTTTGAAAAAAAATATAAGTAAGCAAATAATACTAATTTGTCGATAATTCATCATATATAAATTTTTATTTAGTTATTTAATCAATAATAGTTATCACGATAAGAGACTCCTTCGAATTGGAGGCGACTTTCGACATGTCAATGGAGCAACGCTGTTAATAATCTAGTAGGATGGCAAGTATCAAACTACTCGTTGGTATTGTTCTCGAATCTCTGTAATATCAACGAAAAGGGAAAGTTTCTGTAAACGTTGATGTAAAGCAGTAACGAAACAGTGAAGTGACGGATATTTGATCCAGGGTTTCTTCTGAATTCAATTTGGAATATTTCGTTTACACTTTACCATTAATTAAAGTGGAAAGACTTGAGTCCTTTAAACTTCGGCACATGATATTCAAAAGCACTTCCGCAATTCGATAACTTCCTATATAGATTTACTGGCAAAGTGATAATAAAATAAAGGAGGTAAAATATTTTATGCAAAGTAACGATGAACGAATAAGCAGTATATGTTGGAGTAATGGTTTAGATCGAGAGCTAGCTGTGCTAACGATAAAGGTGAATTTTGATTCAAATGTTCTAAAATACAATACAAACGAGACATTGGGGCTTCATTATTTATCTATATTTAGATGCTATATAATTGCCTTAAATTTCCCTATGATTCATGCTTTGACACTTCCCAAGTGATAACCTTCGGTAAATTCCATAATCAAACCCTTTATCGTTCATCAATGTATAAGTAACTTGTCGAACAATTTACAACAAAAAACAGATGATTTGCACCTTTCAATAAAACGTTTTAGTGCAGGCATGAGGATGATATGACGATATGACAAGTTTCTTACTTAAAAGTACTATATCCTCTATGTTCTACTACAAACCGGAGAGAAATTTTATATAGAAGATTTGAAAAAAAAAAAAAAAAAAAAAACAAACAAAAACAAAAACAAAAACAAAAAAACACACCAGCACTTTTCATACAAATTTAGATACTGATACAGCAGAGCTACTTATTGAATTGAATTGCACTTTAACGAAGTTTTGAAACCTAGGAGGCAAGTGAGGAAAATCTGAAGTTTTCCAAAAATATCAAAATCTAGTTGAGAGAGAGAGAACAAAAAACATCAAGATAATATCAAGATGGCAACATAGTCATAATTCAAACGCAAATTACATAAAACTAGGACAAAATATGTCCAAAAGATTTACACGGAGACTCCTGAAAAGTACAAGGAGAATAAGACAAAGTGTTCGGGAACAGTAAGTGTCTTCTGCTTCATGGCTATGAAAACCTTGGTATTGGAAATAGAATATTGTTCTTATATATTTAGTATGTGCAAAGGTACACCAGCCCAATAATTAAATGATGCTTGCAATATATCTGCAAGGCATTGGATATATAGCTAAGTATCAACAGTCTCTGTGATGGGGAAGTGGAGTCAGATGTCAAGTGAATCAATGAACAAGACATTAATTAGAAAAAAACAGTTGTATGCACATTGTAGGTGTGCTCTGTAACATTCTCCTCTGTCCACCTCATCCGTGTTTTAGTTTCCAGACTAAAACACAGGACTAAAACACAGATTTGTTGTTGATACTAGATGTTTCGTCTTTTGACTCTTTGCTATTGTTTGTAATTAAAGGTTGAGGAAGCTATCGGTTCAAATAAATATCAGGGTGTAAGAGTATGAAAAAAACGAACTGTTGGAAAACTTTGAGTGGGGTATATTAAAGGATTTTGAAGTTCGTATTTTGATAAATTATACAGCGTCATATACATTTAGCTGTTTCTTTGGAAGGTGACCATGTAGTTATCGAAACGTCACGCTCAAAACTTGTAATGGTTATGCTACAAGAACTTCTATTCTATTCGTTTTTCTAGGACAAAACGAACCGGATAAACGAACAATATCTTAGATCAGAAATGTGATTTAAAAAAAATCTTTACACTTACCTTTAAGACAGCGTGGCCATGTACACGGAACTACGAGACAATGAGTTCCGTCGTTCCCAGTATAAAACGGAAATGGCTGTATATTGTATTTCTGTATATTTCAACCTGTAAAATGAAGGAAATTGTTTGAATTTTAAACAGGATTTTGTACTTTTCACTTCATTGTAGTGTAAATGAAACAAATATAATTTAACTGTCTTATATTTTCAACATTAGGGGCACACATGTATATGCATCACGTGATGTTTCTCTAAAGCCTTTAGAAAACAGTAATAATTGTATGCCCTTTATATTAATGTGCGCCGTAGTGAAGGGAACCAATCATCGTTCGTATTGATTAAAATCCAATTAATAGAAATACTGATTCCAAGCTTAAAAAAAAACTGAACTGTCCGTACTTTGTCTATTGTATATAACACGTATGTTGTTTCTGCGATTAGAAGCTACATGATACTTCTATTAATTGGTGATATGTTGCGAGTATAGATAATACTGAGCGGGTTGGACTGAGATCTAGGGTCAGAGATCGGTAGTTCGTGGTCTATATAATAGATGGTACAAAATTAAACATCTTTCATTACTTCTATTTGATGACATATTAAAATATAAAAATAAATTAATATAAAAAGATAAACTATAAAAGAAATATAAACATTAGAATACATAGTACTTACTTTCTAGGCGATATTTTCAACATCTGATTGTATCCTATGTGATGGAGTGTGAATGATATTAAACACTGTCCCTCAATATATGTTGATAAACAAAAAAACACTCTCGAGCAAAGAAATAGAAATTCTCCGCCAGCGTAAGTACTCTGGATATGTTGTCAATAAATAGGTTAGCATGGCAATTATAACCAGGCTTAACACGATTCATTATTAATAAGGTTTCCGTACACAATAGGTAACAATATTTGGAATTGTTTATACATTGTGGTGACAGTAATAGCTTTCTAAAGGACATCTGATAGTCAATTGACCTCTAGACTTCGACGTCTCTCTCTTCAAGCCCATTCAATCGTTATTATTCGTTACATTGTAAAAATATCGATTCTGTCATAAGGTATTTTATAACGATAAATGGGAAATCAGCTTCAATTACGTTCGCTGTAAATAGGTTTTATTTCCATGTTTCGGTGACTCCATCTGACAGGGATATTATGAGAAACATTGACAAATTGAATATGGAACAACGTTATAATTGTACTGAATACAATCTTTTATTGTATTCTTTTTATTTCGATGGCGAGTTATTCCATTGGACCATCTAAATATTTATAAGATCACAATCTGACCTCGTGACTATCCTGTTTTATTTAGTTTCATTTTACGTTTGTTGTTCTCTTTAAACATTGTTTTACGGGCATTGATACATACGATACGTGTTGGCGTGATATAATAAATAAACAGAGAAAGCAAATAAATAAATAAATATTAAATAGATAAATAAACAGAATCAATTCCATTGCTTTTAATATTTCATCATATTAGAATGTGTTTTATATCATAGTTACATCTGTTTCACGAGGGAATCATGATGCCATGAATTCCTAACAGATTGCCGTGGTCTACTCCCATGTAGGAAATTCCCTTACCTAACATATGTGATGTCCGTGAGATGGCACTGGGGCAAAATAATTTTAAAAAAATAGATTAATTGTTTGTCTTTAAACATTATACTGTGTTGATTGTGTGACAATGATCGTCCAATGGCAAAACAACTAAATATTACATACGGTACTGTCAATGCTTCTCTCCGTCTGAATTACAACTATTTTGTGCAGTAATAGAGATACAATATATCAATAACATTTCGTACTTATTGAAGTCATTCTATAATAATCACACAGCCGTGTATGGCTTATATGATGATACGGCGATATAATGGCGTTTCATGATATCAATCACGTTAACAATGTTCTGACGTTTACATTATTGATACGTTCTTTTATATCGACGGTAACAAATCATTCCAGCATTTATCCTATTCAGATCAAAACGGTTTGTTGACAGCTCTAAATGAAACATTTACTACTTGACTTTCTCTTGAAATGATTCAGTATCGAAAAATCATTGAAATTTAATTTTGTCTTTCGTATGTCATCACATCTGGTTTTTGACATTTCTTTCGACCAGTTTTGATTTTTTTAAGTCACATGCTAGGGTTCAATCTTTTAGGAAACATTTCTAACGAGTCCTGGAAGGACGAAACAGCTGTATGATGCAGTTAGATTCATTATTTGGCCCTACTGTATCTAACTCTAAATTTATATAGAAAGGTGATCTTCATATGTCTACCTTTCGTAAAATCCTTTTAGTCAGATTGAAAGCAATGACTATCTTCTTTCATCAGTGTATAGTAATTTGTTCTAAACTCGTATGTAATGTACAAAACTTGTACCTTATACTTTCTTGACATACAATATAATTCCATTATTTAATCAACCTTAAACTGTTAACAGTTAGTAGTCATATGTTTGATCAAATATTACATTTTCTGTAGTGAACTCTGACGCATTTTGAGCAGCGGAGCAAAATTTCAAATTTCAAAAAGATATGTTGTCGATGTATGCTTTAGCGACTTTTCGTTGCAATCGATGCAAACACAACAGACATGTAGCATGATGATACATACCTAGTATATGTTATGACGATGTGTTGTGCCTCTATTAGTAAAAGATAAATATGAAATGAATTGTAAACCATTATACAAAAGACATACACGTCAATAGCTCCTCTCAAGACAAATATAGTGAAGTAAACTTCATCATACAGCTGTTGTAAAGTAAATTTCATCATAAAGCTGTTGTGAAGTAAACTACATCATAAAGCTGTAGTGAAGTAAACTTCATCATAAAGATGTAGTGAAGTAAACTTCATCATAAAGATGTAGTGAAGTAAACTTCATCATAAAGCTGTAGTGAAGTCAACTTCATCATCAAACTGCGTCATAAAGCTGTAGTGAAGTAAACTTCATCATAAAGCTGTAGTGAAGTCAACTTCATCATCAAACTGCATCAGACAGCTGTTGTAAAGTAAACTTCATCATAAAGCTGTAGTGAAGTAAACTTCATCATAAAGATGTAGTGAAGTAAACTTCATCATACAGCTGTAGTGAAGTAAACTTCATCATAAAGCTGTAGTGAAGTAAACTTCATCATAAAGCTGTAGTGAAGTAAACTTCATCATCAAACTGCGTCATAAAGCTGTAGTGAAGTAAACTTCAGGATAAAGATGTAGTGAAGTAAACTTCATCATAAAGATGTAGTGAAGTAAAGTTACCATCATTTATGTCTCTCGGCAAATTACCGTCATTTATGTCTCTCGACAAATTACCGCCATTCATGTCTCACGGCAAATTACCGGCGTTTATGTCTCTCGGCAAATTACCATCATTTATGTCTCTCGGCAAATTACCTTCATTAATGTCTATCGGCAAATTACCGCCATTCATGTCTCAAGGCAAATTACCGGCGTTTATGTCTCTCGGCAAATTACCATCATTTATGTCTCTCGGCAAATTACCGTCAATCGTGTCTGTCGGCAAATAACCATCATTTAAGTCTCGTTGCAAATTACCATCATTTGTGTCTCTTTGCAGAGGAGTAATACACGCCATGACGTCTCACAAAATATGATGGTACGGACTCAATGGTCATACAACGTTAATAGAAATCAATTTTAAATTGTTTTTGTAGAGCACATAATTTTAAAAAACATCCATCTCTAATATCATGTTTTTTATTGAACAATTCACTGGGATTAATAATTAATCTATAATTATTAATGTGTGGGGTTCAATATCTCTGCTTTATAATGAACCTAATCGTTACTTCAGTGAGGCATTTGCGACATAGGGATCTGAAGACTACTGTTGACAGCACCATTAGGATTCCAGCCATCATTCCTGGTCCACGACATCTAAGCTTATCTACACCCTAATCAGTAAGAAACGTTGTCTCCATCAGCCCTGTCATCTCATAATAGCTGGTTATCGTTTTGTGTCCACATCAGCCCCACTTTCTGAACTAGCGTCCATACTACCTATGCAGGTAACCCCTTGACAGCTCTGTTCGTTTTGTCTACACTAATCTACAAGCTCTTGATATTTGGCAGCTTTTCCTTGTCTCACCTAACCCTTCCACCTGTACTATTACATATAATTTCAATTTGGTTTACCGACAGATATGTGTAGACATTCATTTATTGACATAAAGTCAGTCTGGGCCTGATTTCACCTCGCCATAAACACATGGGTTTGTTTTCGTATGTCAGATCTACTTCAATATATAATTGGGGTCATGTATAAAAGACCCTGGATTAATATTCTATTACGCGATCACACCTCCTTGTCAAGTGTGATCATCGTACAAGGCCATGTGAGGATTAGAGGTATTGTAAACACTGAATAAATAAAGCACCGTCCGCTTTCACGAACCGAGTCATTTTGATGGATGTATTATAAACATAAAACCAACACAAATCCGTGCGGAAATAAATGTTGCTTCTCATCTTGCCATCGGGTTGATCGCAGCTATGGAATGTTGTACAGTTATTACTACTCAACCGCCACTCAAGACACATTAGTACTAATACGTGTATATCATATACTCAAGTTTCTTGTCGATAGTGGCAATTTAAGAATCATGTCCGGCGGGTGTACTTGGTCTTTAATGAAAGAATTTCAAACATCAACGACAAATCATTTGATGAATGAGATATGACAACCACGCACTGTTCATTGGATTTCCCTAGGAATTTTAACAGATTTACTTATATGAAATTTGATCATTCCGTTTTAACAAGAAAAACCTATCTCGTTTAAAGAATTGGAGCTGTTTTAATTCAATCTTTCTGTTTTGTGATGTAATCCCCCAATTCCCCTGGAGGTAATTAGTGGTACTCGCAGGATTTACACGTGTGCTAGAATCTCGTGTGACTGAAGAATGTAGAGAGTGTCGTTAATATCATAACTAGATTACCAACCCACCGAGATCCTAGCCGGAAAATGGAGGAAAAAGAGAAGAAAATTATAGACAGGAACGAGGAATTGTTAGTCCGGAATATTGTTCTCACTCCAGAATTTTACGAATTATTACAGACTTATAATGTCCTACCGGTTACCATGGTAACGGATATAAGGGTAAGTAATTAACACGAACAATCGTACATCATTTTGCATCAGTACGGTGTTCTACTTTATGAAACGGATCGATTTTCAAGCAGATTAAATAAACCCACAAGGATTTTCATGAATCTCAATTTAGAAGGAACAAATGTAATATTCTGTTTATCGCATAATCAGTATTGTCGAAGTATTTGCGAAAATACGACTTTCTTCTGTTTTTCAAATTGTCAAACGTCACCGTTATGTATGTAATGACTTTAACGAATGAAAATGTTTGACTCCAAAGTCACGATATCCTGTGTGTGACGCGATTTCCTTATTTATCAAATCGCGATAGGTTATTACAAACATGTAATATTTATGCGTTAAAATATGACATGCCTTCGGATGCATTTACTGAATAACACGCAGACAGTCATATGATAAATATATATATGTGAATGATATATCGACTTTCTAGTACTGATTACAATGGTATAATCATCATACAGAGAAAGGAGGCGGGGCTTGTTGTTGTAATATACGTTATCTACATAGAGAATACATGGTCAGTATCTTAAAATATAAACTTTATTTTGGCGAGGGTGAAGTATTCGGACAATGACAGCGCCAGTTGCAGGTGTATATATATATATATATATATGTGTGTGTGTGTGTGTGTGTTATGGCATTCATACGACCATGTCATGTATATCGCAATACAAAATTGTGACGTCATAAATAAAGCCACGTATTAATGACGTCACATGATTGTCTCGGTTGTGAAAAAAATACCGCCAATGGCAAAAGAAGTCTATCTTATGAGAAATTAATTTGCGAGTTTTCTTTTATTTTTTAGAAATACATGTTAAATGAGAACGTCGCCCTTTTGCGCTTTTCATTCCAGAAGGCGACATTCGGAGGTTTTTGCGTTTATTCACAACGAACGAAAGAACGTGAGTTTTCGCGTTTTGAACAACACGGAAAGGCGGCGTTCGGGGAAAGGGGGTTCAGGTTATTCATATCAACGCGAAAAAGCGAAAAGGCGAAAAAAGTAACACGAAAAGGCGAGATCTTTATCATAAGTATAAAACGGCGCCATTTCGAGTTTATTTGTCACCTTTTCGCGTAGAAAATTGAAGGCGAAACCCCACAGTTCGACAGGTTTTTGTGTCAGAAACAACGCGAAAAGGTGAAAAGGCAATAAATTAGCCACCATACTTAATAGTGAATTCTTCCTTTTTAACTTAAAATGTCACATACTGTATATGATGAGATATAGATGAGAGGACATCCGTCCCTCCAAACCCCTATTTCATCTGACAATTAGGTCGGAAACGCGTTTTGACTCGTTTGATATTAATGATTGAAATGGGAAATTGATTATCTGTATATAAGATGTCAGTGTGATTACCAAGAGTAATGTAAATGACAAGACGTTTAAAGATTTAAAGATGTTCCTTCCATTTTCAATCAACTTATTACAACCTGTGATATCTTTAGACAATTTATATGCTTTCCGCAACATTCGTTTTCGAACTAAAATCGAATTAATTGAAAGCCTGCTTTGAGTGTAGTATGATTTGGTCCTTTTGAGGTATGAATCACTCGGGGGTTATTTGTAAACATTATCATATTTATTCATCACGTTGTTCGCAAGTTTATTGACATAAAGATAGAGACCAAACACAGATCGTTTTTTTAACTGACGGATGTTAAAATACAAATGGTCCCTTTGATCACCTATATTTGTCTGTCCTTAAATTCGTCCGAGTATATCAATAACCTTGTCATACATCGCCTATATCTGTTAGTCTTTTCCTGTATGTGACCGTGTCATTTACAAACATCAAATATCAAGTTGTAATTCCAATATTTAAAATAATTATTTGTTTGTTTTTATTTTTCAATTTCCATGTAATACATACATTTGATTTATTCATTATTGAACTGAATTTCCTGGCCATATGGGTGATTCACTTTGCATGTCTACTTACGAAAAATAAACTTATCGTACACGAATGTTCTAATTAATGTTTAAAGATATATTAATGATTCATCGTTAGCTGTGTTAGTTCCGAACGTTAAGGTAACATGTGGTTATAATACAAATGTATGATGACAATTATCCCGCACGGACAATAGACAATTTAAATCCCAGTCAGCCAAAAACGGTCTACCAAATGCACAGGTGCACAGCGCGGAGAACTAAATCGTTAGGTGTCAGAGTAATGATGCTTGTCATTAAGTTACAAATCGGTGACATTTTAATCAATTAAATCTCGTTAAATCTCGTTAAATCTAAACTTTATCATTACGAGTAATACCGAGTTGTTTGGTAATCTGTGGAATGACCTCTTGAAGGTGACTAAATGAGAAAATAGAGAAATCTGAGAAAGGACAAGTTTTTTTTGTTTTAGCAAAGCAAACGATATGGTAGTTTACCTCTCAATATTGAAACAGGTCGTTTTGATAAACCACTCGTACATTTAGAGGTTCGAATGAGTTCTTACTATTTCAATAGCTTGACCGTGATCCATTATATAGTGATGTAAACATTTTTATTTGACTGTGTTTTTAAATCTTTAAATTCGTCCGATATATTTGTATTTCAGCTGCAGTTAGTTTTGACAAAATCAGCTTATATTATGTTTAAAAGACTCATACAATATCAAATATTTTATATTGCAAGAATATTATTTCCGTAGAGTAATAATATTTCAGCTACAATGGTGTATCATTAGTCAACTCTGGCTGGTAATATATAGTTTTTGAGATTTGCACTTATTTATTTAGCTATATACAGTATATTGATTGATCGATTGATTGATTGATTGATTGATTAATTGATTGATTGATTAATTGATTAATCATTGCTCACATTTCCTTCTTAGAAATGAATGATTCTTTAACGAAAATCAAAATAGTCACGACATGGATTTTGCGTTTGATAAGCTCGATATCAGTTAGCTAAAGAGGTGGGGACGTTTAAGTATTTATTTCAATCTGAGTCGGAGTACATGACATCAGCGACAAATCAACATATCAAATTTTTTTAGTATATTTGCAATGTCCTTTCATCCTCCAGTTTCAGAAACACACAAATATAGTAAATCGTCTGTAAATACAGACTTCCTTACGTCTGTACTGGCTTTATTCAGTTTTCTGTTTTCATCTCTTGTCTTCTAAAAATATATATGTAGCAAATTAAATTTGATGAAAATGTATACTATTGTAGATAAGTTGTGGTAACTTTTGTCTTCTCCCATCTGAACGAATTAAATATGTTTACATCAAATCGATACAGGTTGATATTGTATCTGAAATCAAGGAATTATTTTTTTGTCGTCAAAACAAGACCATGGCGGTATGTATCCCGAGTCACAGACAGTATCATGTAAATAGCTCGCTAAGTAACGTGTAAATATCAAGGGTTGAGAATACTTCCGTAAACATGTGCCTAGTCTGTGTTTACTTACGATCTGTATGTAAACAATTCGGTCATGGCTGGCTACAATGTTTCAAAAACAATTTCCTGAAAGATTGGCAACAATTCGCCCAACACACATTTCTGTATTACCGTTCTGGTCATTCAGGGAGTCCTCTTTTGAGACAAAATTGCGTCGTTCTCCTTGTTATGTCGTGATATAATGTTATTAAAATATTTAACAACATTAAGTTTATTGATTGTGTTACGGAATCCATTCTATAAACAGTGATATGTATGCCAACAGTTAAATGTTTACATTGTATCAGAGCTCTAGATTTATATTTTCTCTCTGGTGCGTTAAAAGAAGACAATTTTACAAAATATCATACATGGCAGACAGGATGTTATAGTTAAAATACAATACTGGTATAACTTAAATACATTGTAGCATATAAATAAAAAATAATATCTAATTGTAAATGTCAATAAGATTTGACTTTAATTTCAAACATACAATGGTAATGGAGTAGGAATACAACTATAATTACAATCTGGATACAGGTTTAAGTGTTAAGTACACAGACTTTCGACTTTTTTAAAAGTAGCTCACCCTAGTTCAGGGCGGTTGCAAATCTTAAACATACTTCCCTTAGTAGTAAGACAGTAATTTGTGATTTATTTATGTCTATAATTAGATACTATAACATTATTACATTGAAATAAATAGTGATATTTATCCCAACTATTATTATTACATTGTAATTGTAATACTATAAAAATAATAGATTGCACGGTATGTTTCTCGGATCATGTAAAAGATAGGGCCAAACACGATAGTGTATATATATGATTCAAGTATGTATCGGGTTCTTAGTAAATACTATTGAAGTTTCATACGAAATCAATTTGGATTTTTGGCAGTGTACATATGATATATCAAAGAATCTATGAAGAGAGCATTTCTTAAGTTTTGATAACTTTTGCCCGATCCCCTTGTCGTTATTCAGACAATGGAATATGTCAAAACTAATCTACGAAACCGATAAATCGTGATTAAGAACGTGACAATGAAACAGGACCATGCACACAAAATATATTTATTTAAATATCCAATAACGATATTTCTATTCAACGAAAATCATGTGACATCTTGGGATATGAATTAGAATTGTGAAGCTTTGTACTGTTCAAAGTTTTTCTAATGATTTCGACAAATTATTTGTCAACTTATATAAAATCTGATGGCCGTATTTGATATTACCGTGTCTTGTGTACCACTATCCTAATATATCATAACCTAAAATTTTTGATGTATTTACAGTCTATAATCAAACCTGATATACGATGTGTATAGGTAAGTGTTTACAAGTTTATGTTCGTATAGATAAGTAGGCAATCAATCACTCCGAGAGATATTTAATATTTGTGTAAACAGAAGAACTCGTCACGCCTCCGTTTTTACTGGATCAAAGACAAATATGACCTTAAAGTCATATTATCCAAATCCCCATGATATGCCGACGATGCACGGAAAGACCTAGAATAATATATGTTCTAGTGAAATCAAGAGTATGATATAATTTGAATAAGACGTTTTATTAAGGAATCTTGTAGCGGCGCTTCTTTCACGCCATTATAGATTTATTTTTTTAAATCAAAGTTTGATAAAGCTTTGTTTAAAAAAAAATATGCCTAAATTGGCCGGAAAGTTTGAATAAAATAAAGTTTGATGAAGATTTGTTTTAAAAATTAAAACTCAAATGGCGGGATAATTTGAATAAAATAAATTTTGATATAGCCTTGTTTTAAAAATTATGCCTAAATGGAGTGACACTTCTATCAAAATCACAATATTCTCATCTCTATAATATGTTCATGTCCCACCATTTCTGTTTGTCATATTTTCTCATAATTCTTATTGAAAGTAAATGTGCCAGAACCGAAATCTATTCATTTCGATTTATCGTTAATAAAAACAAAGGGCTGGGTGTTGTTAAACTCTTTAAAAGAGTTCCGCAATCTTTAGGACGGATTGTACAGACACAGTTCATATACTAGAGAACACATTTACAGACAAAGGTTTTTTGCAGCAACTATCCGAATCATAAACAAAGGATTCTAAAATAAAAATGGACGATCACATATTTGGGATGTTTGTCTAGTGTTTATCTCTTTTCTAGTGAAACTTCTCCGGCTGCAACTGTAGATAATACTTTTGCTTATACATATCATACCTTGTTTTCCTGAACGACCGTAGTATCAGAAATATACACGTGAATGTATAAATATATACTTGTGTACCATACACTGTAGTGTCTGATATCACATCTGATTCATCAGACATCCACAGCAGTGTCTGATATCACATCTGATTCATCAGACATCCACAGTAGTGTCTGATATCACATCTGATTCATCAGACATCCACAGCAGTGTCTGATATCACATCTGGTTCATCAGACATCCACTGTAGTGTCTGATATCACATCTGATTCATCAGATATCCACTTTAGTGTCTGATATCACATCTGATTCATCAGACATCCTCAGCAGTGTCTGATATCACATCTGATTCATCAGACATCCACAGTAGTGTCTGATATCACATCTGATTCATCAGAAATCCACAGTAGTGTCTGATATCACATCTGATTCATCAGTCATCCACTGTAGTGTCTGATATCACATCTGATTCATCAGACATCCACAATAGTGTCTGATATCACATCTGATTCATCAGACATCCACTGTAGTGTCTGATATCATATCTGATTCATCAGACATCCTCAGCAATGTCTGATGTCACATCTGTCTGATATCACATCTGATTCATCAGATATCCACTGTAGTGTCTGATATCACATCTGATTCATCAGATATCCACTGTAGTGTCTGATATCACATCTGATTCATCAGATATCCACTGTAGTGTCTGATATCACATCTGATTCATCAGACATCCACTGTAGTGTCTGATATCACATCTGATTCATCAGATATCCACAATAGTGTCTGATATCACATCTGATTCATCAGACATCCACTGTAGTGTCTGATATCACATCTGATTCATCAGACATCCTCAGCAATGTCTGATGTCACATCTGTCTGATATCACATCTGATTCATCAGACATCCACAGCAGTGTCTGATATCAAATCTGTCTGATATCACATCTGATTCATCAGACATCCACAGCAGTGTCTGATATCATATCTGTCTGATATCACATCTAATTCATCAGACATCCTCAGCAATGTCTGATGTCACATCTGTCTGATATCACATCTGATTCATCAGACATCCACAGCAGTGTCTGATATCACATCTGTCTGATATCACATCTGATTCAGCAGGCATCCACAGCAGTGTCTGATATCACATCTGATTCATCAGACATCCACAGCAGTGTCTGATATCACATCTGATTCATCAGACATCCACTGTAGTGTCTGATATCACATCTGATTCATCAGACATCCACTGTAGTGTCTGATATCACATCTGATTCATCAGACATCCACAGCAGTGTCTGATATCACATCTGATTCATCAGACATCCACTGTAGTGTCTGATATCATATCTGATTCATCAGACATCCTCAGTAATGTCTGATGTCACATCTGTCTGATATCACATCTGATTCATCAGACATCCACAGCAGTGTCTGATATCACATCTGTCTGATATCACATCTGATTCATCAGACATCCACTATTGTATCTGATATCACATCTGATTCATCAGACATCCACTGTAGTGTCTGATATCACATCTGGTTCATCAGACATCCACAGTAGTGTCTGATATCACATCTGATTCATCAGACATCCACTGTAGTGTCTGATATCACATCTGATTCATCAGACATCCACTGGAGTGTCTGATATCACATCTGATTCATCAGACATCCACAGCAGTGTCTGATATCACATCTGATTCATCAGACATCCACAGCAGTGTCTGATATCAAATCTGATTCATCAGACATCCACAGTAGTGTCTGATATCACATCTAAGACTTGAACCCGGTCGTTCATAGACTAAGTAGTGATAAGGGAAATTTTTCATATGTAATTTTGAGTGTCAAGTTTGCGTTTGAAATTTTTGGTTTTTTTTAGAGGCAACAATCTGATTTTTTCACTGAGCAGGTTAACAAGAATTAACCCTTGATCAAGCGGGATGTGGTTGTTATATCATATATAGTGAAGGGTTACCTACTATCTTAGTACCTCATTGCTTTTTGTAATGAAATATAGAGTTTTTATTCCCTTACACCGGAAACGAATAGTTGCAAAAAACGGCTAGCGCACCTTTATTCTGATTGTTTTTTCATCTTATTTTTGAAATTTCCAGTTAGATTTTAGTAATGGAAGGTTTAATACCCTTAAGCAGGAAATGAACAAATCGTAAACATATCGGTATATCTTAAACCTGATTAGTAAGATCTCTATTCATTTTCGTTCTTAATGTTCTGTAGACAAGTTTCGAGAACATGCGTCTCAAACCATGGACACAGTTTGTTAAAATTAATTAAAGAATTCAATAGCACGTTTACATTCCCGCTTGAAAAGGATGTTTTGCAGGTCAAGATAATTGTTTAACTAAACAGAGGAGGTCGGAAGGCCATAGACGGTATTGCCCTATACTAGTCTGATCATACATGGTTTTGTGTTTTTCCCCCTAACCTCTTTGATCTCTCTGCACCAAGTATAAAACGTTGTCTAAATATTGACAGTATTCAAATTACACCGCGCGAATGTGCCATTCCCGCCCGAATTTCTAAATTTAAATCCCTGCAGTCGTAAGCCTGTAAATATCAATTACATCGCTGTTCAATCAGAGTTTTGATAAACAGTAAATTTATCACTATAATAATTAACGTAAGAAAGTACAGTATTATCCGCGATCAGGAAACGGAACTCACCAATCAGAAGTTCATTTAATTTTCTTAAATTTCAGACTGGAAAATCAAAAGAGGAAAAGAACTGTCGACTTCTTAAAACATTAAAACTCCGGGGTTGTGACGCCTTCAGAAAGTTATGTCATATTCTAAGCCTCACGGGACACGCCTTTCTCGCCGACCATCTTCACGAAGAAGGTAGAAAGTATAAGCTACCCTCCATGATGAAGTAAAATCAAGACAGAAATAAAAGATTTGTCGATGACGTATTGTCCAGTGGAGATAAGATATTTTTCAGCGGTATTCTACTATCTATTAATTGTATTGCTGTCATTGGTGGTGCCCGACGTAACGGATACCTTTAAAGCAAAACGTTACAGCCTCCTCAGTTACGTTCTATTCTTCTCCCTAGACGTCCAGGAACTACATCTATATTCGTTTGTCCCAGAGTGGTTCAGACAAAATATGAGTAGAAGCCGCGCACCTCCCGAAGAATGTCCATATGCAGCTTTTTTTTCACGGGATATTTCCTCTTAGCGTTTATCGGGTCGTAGGCACGAGAGCCTACATGTAGATTGGGGCTAGTCATGGATGAGTGATTTAAGGCTCCCTTTTGGGGCTAACACACACACACGCCCCTATTATTGAACTTCATTCAAAACATCCATCTCGCCACAACGGTGTCCTAGATCAACAATGGTTATATTCATTGCATGGCTTCTGAAGCAGGGCATTGCCACTGTGCTGTGTACGACATGTGCTGATTGCATGCACACTTTGTGATACACTTACGTCTTCATTGTGGTCATGATTTGGCCGTTTTAGTTCAATAGTTATGACCGATGTGATTTTTTTCTTCAAATGTAGGTCAAAGGTCTCGGTCAAGGTAAAATGGTCAAAATTTTTGTGCTATCGAAATGGTCTTGTCACAAGGAATGCACATGCCAAATATGAAAGCCATACTTCTTACAGTGCAATATAGGCAAAGTTTAAGTTAACAAACAAACAAGCATGCAGCACAAAAACAATATGGCCCCGATCTTCCGATCCCGGGCATAAATATTCCGGATATATCTCGACCCTTTACTTGTTGGGGTATCAACGACGAAATCTACGGAACACAAGTTCGTTTTTGACAAGTGGTGTTTCAAATGATTGAGATCCTGAAGTAGCTTGAGAGGAGAATGCTTTAGATATTAAAACGTCATAACCACAAAAACACGATACATTATACAAATATAGATAATAATGTACGGCTCAATAGCCTCAACCTAGATTGAATTTTAAAACATTATATTCTTTCTCTTTTTTGGTAAGAACTGCATATGTTAATATTATCGTTATATTTTTTTAGAAACGGATACAAAACTACTACGTTCTGAAGAGTTCTTTGGCAAGTTTCCGACTGTATTCAACCACATCAGTGATGATATAAAAACCAAGGTCCTTCAGTATCTCGAAACAAAGGTAACTGTCAGCTCACTTTATAATCCTCCTTTAAGAAACTAATAGCTAAGTCCCCCAAGATTGACTTTAATTGATAATGGGGATGTTGCTTTCGTCTTTAGTACAATTCTGGAAATTTATTTCTACACAGTCATGCCATCATCGAAACTTTATGACAAAAAAATGTTTTTGTTTATTTCTTTAATAATTTTTCATTTGTAGCTGAAAGAAAAGATGCTTGTAAATACATGGGTAAATTCTACGTCGGAGAGGAGTGAACTCATGGAGTCACGCAAGTTAGAATTCGAACACGAGAGGGAATTGAGGACTAAAATGGAAAAATACAAACGGCAGGTTCGTCATGGGCCTTTTTAAAACGAAGTTGAATATTTCAAAATTCCTTGTTATATATAATATCACCATTTTGTTTTTTCTTCGTCCCTATATTCCCCCTATGATGTATGTGTCTGTCGTCTAAATTCTACTGTTTCCTTCGTTTGCAGCTGAGCAAGGCAGTTGATGATTTAGCTTTAGCCAAAGACGAACTAAAACAGAACAGATTGGACATGAAAATACAGTTAAGAGAGGTAGAAGAATCTGAGAAAAGGTTCAAACAAGAGCTAGGAGTACAATCTCGTTTCAATGCAGCAAACAATAGTTCTGTATTGAGACTAAGAGAACAGTTTACCACGGTTAACACCAGGATTCGTCAGTTAAATTGTCTGATTAGCGATTTCCTTTACGACCACGTGGCTGAAACAACACAGGAAAACACTGTAACTGGTGCAATGTTGACCATATTGGAGAAAAATATACGAACACTGATGGACAAAGCTGACCAGCATGCCGAGACGCTTGACCGTAGCTCCAACGAAAGAAACACTATTCTAAGCTTGCTCAGGAAGCCGATGTCGCGTTCTGAACCACTTTCGGAGATAGTTCGAAAACATGTTGAAAAGGAAAACAAAACTAAACTAGCTATATGTCAAGAAATGGAGAAGCTGAACGAGAGTTTGCGAGATGTTGGCGCAGGAAGTCTTAGGAACGGGGGTTCCTCAAATTCGGTGATTCAAACGACAGATCTCAAATTAATTCGTAATATGATAGCAACTTTCAGAGTAGAAGCAGAGCATCTCAGAAAAAAGCTGAACTGGAAGGACGCAAAGATTTCTGATCTTGTTGAGGAACTTCGACAAAAACCTGTTTCTCTTCGACCAATAGAAGACAATCCCCTAGCTACTGGTGACGTGTTTTTCAAGTCGGAGCGTGAACTACCTGCGCATTCAGAACCAAAAGGTGGCTTAGCCAAATCCGATGGAAAGATGATAGATAGTTTAACTAACCAGGAAAAGCCGACTCTGTACTCAACAAGAAGAGACAAATGGTCACGCGAAAGCAGTCCATTAAAACCCATCTCCATTGTTACAGAGAGCACTGACGATAATGATACTGATGAAAACCAGTCTAGGTTAATCTCGTCTGCTCAGAGGAATGTCAATATAGACGACAACAAGTCAACATTACAACCCATTGATAGACAACTTAATCAAAACATCATCATTCCTAGATCTCCTCAAGTACAGACATCGGTAGATCATACAAATATCGCTACAAGGAAGAAAGACGGCGACACTATGGCTATTCAGGAGGTGACGTCATATATGGAGGAAAAAATTGCTGAAGGAAAGTTGCCGCCAATTGTACCGAACTCTTCCTACTTGAACTTTGAAAACGCCCCATCAATCCAAAATAAGACGCCTCAATCGACAGAGTTACAATAATAATTGCTTACATGTACTGAGGAGACACGACATGCAGTTGTATTTAATTGTATCCTGTAAGTTTTACCACATACTGGCTGTGAGTTGTATAAACTGATACACGAGATTATAAGAAAACTAAAAATCAGTTTTGTTTCTCTTTTCATTTTGTCTTATCTAACTTTTTCTCATAATACCGTGTCCTTATGTCTTAGTAACAGAAACATTGGATACTAGAACACTGTCATGTGTATCGACGTGTCGTCAAACTTTACATAAAGCGAAAGACTTTTTAATCAGATATTGAAGGTGAGGTTTCAGATATTATGAAATAAATTGATAAGTCTGATGTTAAAATATACGGTGACGAGTGTCGTAACATTTAAGGCGAAGAGATTTATATCGCCACCGTACCCCTACTGAAAGATTATAGAAACCTTGTCAAAGTTTGATCAATATATCAAAACATTCAGGTTAAGAGATGTATGGTTATTAAAGGTAAACCAGGTATTGTATTGTACGAGTTATGTGTTTTCAAAGTCATGCTTTGATCAGTCTGTTAAGTTTTATCCAGCTGTTCGCCCCACTAATGACCAAACTGTAGATGTATGGGTCTTATTGGTCACCGAGTACTTAATATTAACTAGCTGTATGCTAGGATTCCTCGTCCACCCAATGTCTCTTCAGCGGAATATATCCGAGTAAATCTGACACCCGACTTTGGGGGCTGTGTTGAATAAATCCCCAAACGTGTTTCCATCAGTAACTTCAATCTGCCTAGATTCATATTAAGCTTTCAACATTCACCCATCGAACATCCTTCTTTTTTTCTTCTGTATTTAATTTTGGTGGCCTGAAAAAAAGGCGGAGACAGAGAGGATGCTTAAAGGTCTGCTCCTTCCTGGTTTATGATAAAGCTGCTTGTTTAGTCTCGTAGAATATCGACCAATTTGAAAATCGGTTCTGAAGATAAACCAGAGGCTGGGTATCGCTTTCCTATCACCATTTCCTTTTACTCTGCATTACCGTCAACAATGCAGCACTACTACTGATTGCCAAGACAATAGACCAAACGTCATGTATAGAGAAGAGGATGTAATGGATTGCGGTTCCAACAATTGTACCTTGGGTCATGAGATAAGACCTCGTCCAGTATGACTAGAATACTTATGTGTCAGACGAAATATTTATCTTGTTTCATCACCAACTTATATCATACAATATCGGCATATAATGATGTGGCAAAAAGAACGATCTCCACCAGTACCCTCTGGACTTAATTATACATACTTAATGTGGCGCAATAGAACTTCAGCGTAAAACCTCTCTTTAAATTAGCGCACTGATGAATTAGCGCATCCACGGGAATTGCAATGTAAACAAAAAACAGACACTGCATTTGGCGCAATATTTCCTTCGCAAAAAGCACTAAAAAAGATTACCGCTAATATATGTACATTTACAGACAACAAGAAAATACCAACTAGTCAACATAATCATATTACAAACTCTATTTCAATAAAACTAGGGCAAAATATGAACAAAAGAAAGATTTACACAGAGACTCCTTAAAAAGTACAAGGAGAATAAGACCAAGTGTTCTGGAAGGGTAAGCGTCATCTCTTTCATCGACGAAACCTGTCAAGGAAACCTTGGTCAAGGATGTATATATATCTTTAAATGACACAAGGTCGACAACCGATGTCCTGTCCGTTGCGACATATGAGCAGTATTTACCTAATTAGTATCATCAAGGGAGTACGATAACAGCTGCTGAGTTTAGATGATGCGGTGAAAAAAATACCTTGACAATACAATTGATAATTTTTTTTTTAAAAAAAGCCCCCCCCTCCTCCCGAAATTATCATCATTTAAGCATCATTAGTTTCTAATCGGTGAAAATTAGTAACAGCCAATAAAGAAATCTTAACATTAGTGACAGCTGACAAATCCATCTCTACTGAAATGCATTGCGTACCTCCCCCTCCCCCATATCGAGTATAGAGACAGCTTATCAACCTAAATCAAGAGAACGCTTCCTACTTCTACATGTTGTTAACACTATAGGCCTAGAGTGTTGAATCATAGGAAAGGACTAAAATAGTTACAGAGAAATGTCGAGAAGTGATCGTTTATTGCCAGTGTAGCTTATTATGGTAAAGTGAATAACTTCATTATTTTCTTACTTATTCACCAATTGTCTTACAGTATTTCTTACTGTGGCATAAACATATTGAAGAGAATGTTGGCACAGTAACCATGTATGTCCTTGATTAGCTATTCTGAACAAACAATATTACAACTCTCTAAGGGATATTGATACATTGGGGCCAACAGTGAAGAGCCAGTTTAATGCCTTATGGTAGGTAGTTTTAGTTTCAGAAATACAAAAAACAAAAGCATTGTTCAACAATGAAAACATTTAATAGCACAAGACAATAAAAAAGGAAATGATTTTAAAAGTCTGTCATGTTTTGTCAACGGCTCCTGTGTCTTGTTTTTGTTGCTGTCGACTTTTTTGATTTTTTATGAAATTTCTGAAAGATTCCACTTCTCTCTGTTCCTCCTCTGCAAAGTAACAAGCAACTTTAACACTATATCATGGTATTTGAAAATCATTTTAAATGGTTTACACTTGTAATCACCTACATGGGAACAATAGATATTCTCAATAACCAGAATGCCAGGAAAATTTAAATGGTTTACACCCTGATGTGGATCTCAGATATAACTATATATGACAACCTCTAAATTCCATCTCACTAAAACCTTTATATGACAACCTCTAAATTCCATCTCCCTGAAACCTTTATATGACAACCTCTAAATTCCATCTCCCTGAAACCTTTATATGACAACCTCTACATTCCATCTCACTAAAACCTTTTTATGACAACCTAAATTCCAAAACCTTTTTATGACAACCTCAATTAAATTTATATGACTTAATAATAAAACCTTTTTATGACAACCTCTATTCCATTATCACCAGCATCTATGTTATCACCAGCTTTTTCACATAACAAGTTATTCAAGCCTCCCTCCCATTCCTACTATTGTAACAAGGTAATCTGCCATTACCATCCATCATGTCAGGGTCATGTGCCTCCTCATCGCTGTCCTCCTCCACCAACCCTGGAGTAATAGCCATTCCATCTGTCTGTTTCTTTAGCACTGGACAAAGAGGAAAAATCATATCAGCAATTTTAATATCTCTTTTGACAAAATAAAAAAGTTCAGACGGTAGGGCAACAAGAGATTTAATTGGCCTGCATTGCTCAACTAGTATTCAATGTTGAAAAATAGAATCAGTGTTTATCACAAATACATTAACACAACAACACTGGCTTTCAAAGAGGGCACATCCAATCGATTTTAACCAATTTTCATAACAAATAGCTACTAATACTTAACTCTAAACAGTGACAGTTATGACCAAGATTATAGGTGATGTCTTTTTTTTTTTTCTTGAAATTTGTTGGGCTTTGACCTTTCCATCAAATATCCTGCTTCTTGGACTTTTGGTTTACAAGAAGAAGTTTTTTTCACAGGTTTTGATGATTTGACCCCTGTGATCTTCAATATGGTTAAAGGTAATTTCTTTTTTGAACTTTGTCAGATTTCATCCCAGAGACCCATCAGTCAAATATCATGCTTCTTGGGCTTTTGGTTAGTAAGAAGAAGTTGTTTTAGGGTTATGGACCGGTAAATTGTGCTTCGGTGATATTTTCTTATATTTGATTACTACCAGAACATGTTGATGTCCATAATTTGGCGTGGTGGACTAAAAGTGTAAATGCTACAGAACTGAAGGTTTGATTCAGGAGACAGCTGCCAATGTACTACCAAAGATACCATATTACAGGAAAATCAAGTTGACACAGAAAATTAATTCTGTGTACCTACACTTGGCAAAAAAAGTTTGTTCTGGAAAGTTAAAATGAAATATTAACAGTCACCACAAATAATTATTTGTACCATGTGTGTAAACATTGTATCATGTGATGACATCAACTGGGAAAGGACATATCCTGTATTGCATAAGTGAGTGTGTAATAAAAGAACAGCACAACTCAGTGTAAAACAGTTTACTTGGAGGAGGAAAACACAAAGGGAAGCAAGAAGACTTGTTTATTTCTTAATTGTAAATGTAAATGATGGAAATGAATGTGTAGTAGAGACAAGAGAAAATGAGAAATGCTATTTATATAGGGAGAGAAGAATTCTGTAAGACCATTGTGTCCATGAAGAGTATTTGAAGTTACCGTGCATGGGTACAGAGAAGTTTTTTTTTAAATTCCTTCAATTTTATTCTTTTTGGCCATGTACATCAGCCCTTGAGGGTCAGACTGAGTGAAGCACCTTAAACCCCTTCCATCCATGAAGAGTATTTGATTACAATATATTTGGGTACAGAGAAGAAAATTTTTGAAATTTCTGTCAAAATGATTGCTTTTGGCCATGCTCGTCACTCTCTGGAGGTCAGCCAGTGTCAATATGTGCACAAAATCAAACTGTCATCCTTCACTAACAATTCAAACTAAGTTTGTACTATTTTCAATAGCAAATAAAGAAATTACTTTCAAAAATGATATTTTCCTATATAAACTATAGTAAACACTACTACCTTGCTAGGAAATGTGATATTCTGAAGTCAGGAAATTTACAATTTAGGTAAAACCTTTCATTATACTATATTTGGGTACTGAGAAGAAGATTTTTGAAATTTCAGTCAAAACTACCCTTTTTGACCCTGTCGCTAGGGGATGGGACCCGTACAATTTACAATGTTTATTTACCTTTGGCCAGGTGTATTACAAGAAGAAGTAAAAAATGTAAAACATATACAGGTGGATACCACTGGACAATTGGGTTTCGCAATAGGTCACTATGACACTTTGCCTCAGGTGACCTAAAAACTGTAAGACCAGCACAGATAAGACATACTGACCATCTAGAAGTATCTTGATACTTAAAAACACCCAGAGAATGAAGTATGATGTTAACATTGGTAGAATGCTTCACTGTATAATGTACTTTCTAAACTACTTCCAAAGTTAAAATCATAAATCTTGGGTAACTGTCCTCTCCCTGGGTATGTTAAATGGGTAGATGACTATTCAGTATCACCAGGCCTGTCTTTGCCCATGTCCATGTGTAACTGTAGGGTAACTGTCCTCTCCCTGGGTATGATAAAAGGGTAGATGACTGTAAGTATTACCAAGTGTGTCTTTGCCCATGTCCATGCGTAACCATTGGGTAACCTTACTCATGGATATGATAAAAGGGAACATGATTATTAAGTATTACCAGGCTTGTCTTTGCCCATGTCCATGCGTAACCATTGGGTAACCTTACTCATGGATATGATAAAAGGGAACATGATTATTAAGTATTACCAAGCTTGTCTTTGCCCATGTCCATGCGTAACCATTGGGTAACCTTACTGGATATGATAAAAGGGAACATGATTATTAAGTATTACCAGGCTTGTCTTTGCCCATGTCCATGCGTAACCATTGGGTAACATTACTCATGGATATGATAAAAGGGAACATGATTATTAAGTATTACCAGGCTTGTCTTTGCCCATGTCCATGCGTAACCGTGACATCTGTTCTTCTTGTTCCGCCAGTTCCTTCTCCTCCTTCTCCTTTCTAAGCTTCTCATACTGGGGTCTGTACTCTCTATTGGACAAATGCACAGTAAAGGATATCAAAACTGAACCTGTATTTACTACACTGCTTAAACTTTTTAAGTTCTTTGTCATAAGGTGGAGTCATCTGTATTAAAGTATTTAAACATTACAAAACTCCCTTAAAAGTACTGTTTGTACTGATAACATCTGGTAATAGAGCTTTAATATCACCTGAGCATTAATGATACTTTGATTTGACTGTTTACACTGTACAGTGCCCTACAACAGGTCAAGGGTCATTAGGATTAAAAAATGTACATACCGTGCTCAATACCATTGTGAAATTAAAATGTTAAATTAGAGAGTATGCTAACTACCTCTGACACATTATTAAGGATATTTGTGATACACTTTTAACTTACTTCTCAAATTCTTGTGCTGCATCAGTCACATGCTTGAAGAATGATTCCACTCCCTCACCTGTCACTGAGGATACCCCAACATTCTACAATACATCAAACTTTACCTTAATGCATTTTTAAAAATCTGAAGTATTTTCATTTCATATGGCATTGACTAGCAAACTTTTTAGTATCTCAGGTAGGATTCTTATATGACACTGCAAAGACTATAAATACACAAGCAGAAATTAACTTAGATATGTATTAGAATTGGTTTTCTATCAAAATTTTACAAAAATATTCATGAAAATACCAAATCAGAAAATGCCAACAACAATTATAAATCTTTATTCTCTTTATCAAAAAGAATTTAGCAATGATTTAATTAAGTTAATGAATCAGTCGCTATCATTTTAACAAACTACACAGGTTGGCATAATATAAAATCTCTCAGAATCCCATCTCAAACATAGTAATTCATATTAAGCTGACAAACTTAATGAGTCTCTAGCTATCTTTACTCATATTAAGGCTGACACAGTTAATGAGTATCTAGCTATCTTAACTCATATTTACGCTGACATAGTTAATGAGTCTCGGGTTATCCTATTTCATATTTAGGCTATCCTTTGAAACAACTGTGTTGACATAATACATAAGTCTCTGGCTTTCTTGACTTACACGAAGGTTGGCGTAGAACTCATCTAACACCAATGACATGGAGCGTGTCAGGTTGGAAACATATGATGTTTCATGCTCCAATGCATCTTGGAAGGATTCAAAGTCGGTCATCCATTCTACAGCAAACCTGTTATCCACAATATCTATCTGCAAGTCATTTAAAAAAGTCAATGAAAATAGTTGAAAACTTTCACAAAACAAATTTGAAAGTGAAACGTCATATCAGTATTGTTTGCATTTTCTCAATGTACAGTGTAATTTAATACACACCATATAGGTGGAAATATTTGCAGGGGATTTGATTTTGCTATATTTGCAAATTCAAATACACAGCAAATTCTTTTACAGTAAATCAATATTTTCTATAGAATTTGTTACCATCCCTGTAATGGATACCAACGTAATGTCATCTCCAGGACAACCATGAAATATTAGCCCCACGAAATCAATAAACTGTACTATGCAGTACTAGGTAAGGAAAAATTGAATCTGAATATCTATATCCAGTAAATAATGCCATATCAAAACCTTTTGACAAATTCTAAAGTCAATATTTAAAATAAACACACGCAAATTTCAATTTAGTTTAATAAAAACATTTACTATTAATGGTATTACATCAAAGTACCTATTATGATTAGTGAAATACATTATTCATACCTTGTTCATGGCTACGATAAAAGGCAGCTTGGTTTTGTACAGGATACTACAGGCATACAGCATGTTAGACATGAATGTGACTGGATTCACACTCCGGGATGTGTCCATCACATACACAACAACTGTTGGGAAGGTGGACGCCTGAAAATACACATAACTTAATCTATTAAAGTATTTTACTATTAAAAATCTATGAAATATTTCCTTCAGGTTGATTATACATACAATGTATTACATGTACAGAAAGTGATCTCACCACCATTAAGAAACAAAAGTGTGATATCTGTGTTGTCATCCAGTACTAGTAAGTTTCTATCTTAAACATAGAAAAGTTCATTACAAAGGTTTGAGGCTATAGTATAAAACATGAAGGTTAGATATCATCAGACAATCTTACAGATATTGTCTGACATGTCTGATATCCATAAAGATGTGGTTAAGGTCAATGCAATGACATCACAAATAAGTAATACCTTATTTAGAAAAAAACATTTAACAAAGTCTCAGTCAATCAAATGTAACCCTGGTAAAATACTAGCTGCAATTTACCACACGGCTTAATAAAACTTCTCTTGGTGCGATCAGTTGAGCATCAGACTAGTAAGCCAGGGGTCCAGGGTTTGATTCCTAGCGGAGGCATTGAAATACATAATGATCTCTGTTACATTGGCTCCCATGTAGGGACCAGGAAATAGTACTTAGCCATGCCCCATCAGCATCGCTTTAACCCCTAGAAACTTGAGGACAAGTTATTTCCTGTAGAGGGAGTATGTAACCCTGGTAAAATACTAGCCGCAATATACCACTTGGCTAGAGAGAACTTCTCTTTAGTGTGATCGGTTGAGCATCAGACTACTAAGCCAGGGGTTCCGGGTTCGATTCCTAGCAGAGGCATTGAAATAAATAATGATCTCTGTTACAAAAATAATGTATACATTCTCAAATGGAGAGTTATTTAAGATCTTGTTGATATCCCTAACATCTAATGTTTAACATTGTTGATAAAGAATATTACCAGTGTTTCTGTGATGATGGTTCCAGAGGCTGACCAGGTAAAGACCTCTATCTGTCCAGGTGTGTCAAGTATGATGTACCTGTAATTACAGACAGATCAAATAAAGAAAGTTGTTCAGAATAGTGTTCAGGAAATATATTGTTTAAACAAGATTTATGATTGATAGGTTGATAACATAGGGCTATATTTGTAGTTCTAGACATCGTTTCTGAAATCATCTTTCCTTAACCATACAGATTTACCACAGACTTACTTATGACATTTCAGAGCTTTTAAAATCTGACTCAAAGAGAGGCATTATGGGATTCTGTTTATAATTAAATATATTACATTCTTGTGGCATGTATTTTCTTATAATTACTATGATCAATTATGATTATAAGTCATTGACATACTCATGTTCGGTTGATTTCTGCTCCAAAAACTTCATCACCTGTTGAAAAGATGAAATAGAGAATTAGTTACCAGTTACCGTAAATATTCGCGTATAGTGCGCAGGTACTTTTTGGAGATCAGATTTAAAAAAAAAAATTTACAGAAAAATTAATTGACTGGTCACTGCGACGAAACATTTGATGTGGTCTGATCCATTGATAATTAGGAAACCACAATGAGCGTGACCCTAACACATGTAATTACCTTAAGCAAACAAATTTACCCAGGTGACCTAACAAGCATGAAAGGCTTGGCTGATTGTATAATTAACGGTTAATGACAGTTAACACGTTGAGTATGAGGAGACTGATGACATCCGGCTTGGGCTGAACGCATACTATTGGTCAGAAAACGATGTTGTTTTAACTGTCTGATTATTTTCAATCCTACCTTGTCCCCATAAAAGCAGGTACGTTATTGATATGATGGTGTGTCAAGGACAAACAAAACAATGTCATCTTGTTTCAGATAAAAGCATACAGTTACTCCTGATATGAAAATAGCATATAAGGCAGAATGTCAAACAAATTTTACTAAGCATGTTATAAGGTTAACAATATATTTACATTTAACATTATTTCTTCCTTTATATTAGGGTTATATTAGATAAATAACATGTATACACAGAGCTGTTTTATTAGTGTGTAATTATGGATGGGACAGATGGGCAGATGTCAGAACATTCTGTACATTTCAGCTGCTAAGCTTTGTATGATATAATATTTGTTCATTACATTAAATAAATGTATGCTATATTAAATAAACCCTTATTAAGTTCCTTATAAAAAGCCAAATTTTGAGTAAAAAAAATAAATAACTAGGGATGGGCCGTGATGGACTTAAGTTAAATACTATCTGATATACAATACCAAATGATAAATTTGATATACATACCTGATCAAATCTGGTTGCAAATAAATTTAATGAGGTAACTATTCCTCCATTCGGTCCTAAAGAGTATCTGTGTATCAGAATTAAGGTCTATAAAAGTAACAGTAGTTACGGCTCTGATCAGAATACCAACATAAATTGTCCTTAAGATATTTCATTTATCAGAATGACGGGTCACTTTCAAAAGAGCAGTTGAAACAGTGGGACCGGTTAAACCTATCTGGTTCATGTGCATTCATGTACAGTGGAATAATTCCAGATTACCTGAACCGTTTCAACCAGAATACGCAAAAGCAGCTTTAGTCACAGTATTAGGTTACTGCTAAAGTATAACATTATGTTTAATGTTATTTTAATGATAATGAGCTTTAAGAATTGACCATTTTTGAAAGTAAAACATGACTGATAGAGGAAAATATTTTAAGACTGATCAACTGTTACTGCAGAAGTAAATATTTTATATACAAATAGTGCTGCTTATCCTCCATCTATCAAACTAGAATTTTTGACATTTGCATCAAGTAGATTTAATCTAAAGGATACTGTTTCATAACTTCTTTGTAATTCACAGTGTCTCGTATATCTGAAATTGAAAAAGATAAAGATAAGTAATAAACAAAACAATAATAATAGCCTCGAATACATCCTAATGGTGAAGTAACGTCTTGATTCAACATTTTCCTAGAAATTGTCGTCCAGAAATGTTGGGAAATAGCAGGTTTAGAAAAAATATATGAATAAGAACTTCCATTAAATCTTTAATAACGTCAAGGAGATTTGGTAATAAAATGTATTTTAAAAGTACAACTTTTTTGCTATTTCAATCAACACCCAGGGCACTTTTTTCTTGTTTTGTTTATCACACTTATCCACCTTGTCATTAACATATTGATCAAAGTAATCGGTTTATTATTCCTGAGAAACACACTTCAGTGATTGTTTTTTCTTTCTGATGAACACATTACTGTGATTTTCCCCGTATTACAGTAAACAAAATATCCTATTTTCCCATGCTCAAAAGCGTTATTTCCCAAAAGCGGGGAAAAATCTGGAATATTTTCCCAATTTCTAAGACAGCATTACCATTGTCCACAGTTTATAAAGGAACAGGAAGCTATAACATTCGGGGAAAAAACATGCATTACAACTTGAATAGCACACGAATAACAACGATCAATGATACAAATCCTTTCATTGTTTCTCTTTGAGCTATACTCAACACATATGATGGCTAAGTTTGTTAAGGTTGAGGAAAATTCCTCAAGGAATGAATTCCTACAAGAATGCTGACAAGGATTTTCTAAAGAATAGTAACAATGACCTCAACACTGACCCAACAACTGTAAAATCCAAACTTGTCCATGATATGATGATACTTTATAAGAACACGAAGTATGATAAAATTCCCTCAAGAAACAAGACAGTACAGCCAGTTACAGTTTCCCTCTGACTCACTGCAATGTATGAAGTTCCAATGACTAGTAGTGTAGGAGACAGAGCTTGACTTCTTTCATGTAAGTCAAATGTCACATTGTACGTCAGCGTGACCCATTTTTGATATATGATACATTGCCTCATCAATGTGTTCCATACCCAAAGTGTGAAGGTCTAGAAACAAATAGTGTAGCAGATAGAGCCTTAACTTTGATTTTGATCAAGCTAAAGGTCAAAATGTAGGTCACTTTGAATATCATATAATAATTTCATTTAAATTTTTCATATGGACATATTCAGACAAACTCAATTTTAATAAGCACTATAAATGCCTACATTTAAACAAATTTTACATTGAATAAGCTAGTCTTTGAACTCAACCTTATTAAGCCTCTGTTTCTAGCTGAGAATACAGCATTGGGTCCATATTGGTATGAGTGGTTACAACAGAACTGCAGTTTCTATAAACATAGGTAATTCCTTATTCTCACCAATATTTGCTGGAAATGGGACTTCTAGAACTGCTGGGTCAAGGTTGATTACATATGGAGGATTTTTCCTGGCATGAAGATGGGCAGTAATTCTCTACAAAAGAAATACAAAGAGTGCATATCACAGTTGTATATGTACAACAAAGTGCAATGGACTGAACTTTTACTTATTGTGTTTCTTCTTCTTAGAAAATTTTAATCAACACAAGAATAACAGTTAATTATATATTTTGCCTGCACTAAGATTTATGTCTCCTCCTCCCCAAAATAACAAATTTCCTGATTTCTTTTAATTAAATACCACAGATATATCATTGTCAAGTGAAAATATTGATGTGTTGTAAAACTTGAAACGAAAATTTCTCATTTTTTTTCTTACTTTGATCAATAATCAAAATTCATTCAATTACAACATTTTCACCTTTAAAAAAATCACTCTGCCCAAGGTGAGGAAGGAAAGCTTATCTGATGTCTACAGTGCTTGTTTAAATATGAATAAAAACTTAATGTGAAGTGAATAGAACAAGCCATAAAGGATTTGTAAATGCTTTTATCAAAATCTTTTTAATAAGTTCCTCCCACCAAAAAACAAAAGAACAAGGGATCATGGCACTCATCATTGTTGGAGTTTTATTTGTGTATTTTTTTTCTATTTCATTTAATGATTGTTCTTTATTTCACATCAGTTCTAATATGGAATATGTTGCATAGTAAGAAACATAATGGAACTGAGAATGGGGGCAAAATTCAGTATTGGACGTTAAATAACTAATTTCTCCAATAATAATATAAAATTCTATGAAGATATTTTTAAAATTTTTTTTACATGGCATATTTATTTTGTCAACAGCACCCTATACTGGACCAAGGATATTTAATATAGAGGGATAAGAAATTAAGACAAATGAAGAATTCCTTGGTGTCAGCTTTTGTGTTTGTTCACTGAGCTGTGAAGTCATCGAATCCTCTGATTCATACAGTTGTTAGCTGGTCTATGGCCCATTTATTTCTATGCTGTATTTAGTATGTACTTAGCACTGACTAGCCTGAAAACCTGAGCTATCATTAACCAGTGAGAAGTGAACCTTATTTAGTAACAAAAATAATGATTAGAAAACGGAATTGAAATATCGTAAAAGATACACATGTCAAATGGACAATTACTCAGCTTTTTCATGTCATCAATTCAAAAATGTTTTTCTCCTAATTTCGGGTTGACAATGGAATATATTTCATTAGCACAATGAGGCTAGCAAACTCGTCTTTTTTTTTCTTTTTAGTTTACAAAATTATATAGACAGATTCTAATCCCGCTACTATACGAGTTTATAAATGTGCATAGTCAAGAGGTAATTGGCTGACAGTGTACGGTTTTACTTTCTGTTTATCATCAACAAGTTTGAATTTTTAACCTGAACAAATGTGGTTTTCCCAGATCCAGCCATGCCAAGAACTATGATGCAGGTGGGTTTCTTACGCTCATCACTTGAGCTTTGGCCGGTCGACATTGCCTCAGGATGACTACACGCACTTGCTCCTTCTTCCCCACGTGCACCATCCGTCTCCATATTGTTTTGAAATAGCTCTGAGATATTGAGGTTTCAATTTGTTTAGTTTCGTATCAAAAATTTGTAAAATAAACAACAACATTTCGAAAGAATCGTTGTGCATCATTTCAAAGTAAGTATGTCATCGATGACGAGACCAAATGGTATTTTTCCTCAGTTAAATTAGGGAAAATCGAGACTAAACAACTGACTTTGCTTGCAATGAATGTCACGCAGGCGCACTTGGTCAAACTATGGCGGCGACTTCAAAGACAGCGACGAAGTAAACAAACGAAAACATGGTCTGATATCTCAGTATCAGCACAATAAGGTACAACTGAAACGATCAAGTTTATCAGCTGCGTTTTAGTTTCACTTATTTTTCTCCTTAAAATGAAGAATTTTCGGTTATATGACTTTATTTATTTACCTGTTGATTCAATGTTCAAGCCTGTTCCTGTAGTCTGCAAAATCCTAATAAATAATTAAGGGGTCGTTCTATATGTACTTGTTTAACGCAAGTGTTGTCATTTTGGTGAAGGTGCTATACTGAATAATGATGTCAAATGAAAGTAACAAACGTCTAGTCGGTTCTAGCACGAGTGTTACTTATAGTTGAACGTTCTTTCACAACATAAATCTGCCACTTGAATTATCTCAGTTGTTTACGGCAGTTATCGAATTGTAGTAGAATTGTATACCAGGAAAGTCATTACAGTGGTTAGAAAATACCGATCCTTTGTCATACTAAACAATTAATACATATATATGCATATGGTGCATTTACGACAGGAAATTCAAATTCAAATACGAAACCTTCGGATCAGCATACAATACCGTATATGATGTATCGTGTTAATTTACTAATGTTTGGAAAGTATAACACAACTGATGAAGGAAGATAAATTATGACGCACAACCTGTCAATACTTAGAACCAAAAATCATCAGTGCCTAATTGCCTAGACAAGAAATTCAGCAGCTGGCTAACCATCATGACACTCCCAAAAAAGGATGTCTGGAAATTGTAAGGAACAAACAGCTACAAAATTTGACATGATCTTAGTGGGAGTTTGTCTCTGATGCCTTCCTTTGTCAATTGTGTTACAGTACCCAAATACCAATGAATTAACAAAATGCTTCATTTACAGTAGTGTATATTGATCTGAAATTTTCTGATTTGAATGACCTGATGTAGTTGTACCACAGCTTGATGTGTTGTTTTTTATGATTTGTACAGTGGCGTTCGAAACATGGTCAAATTAAAATCACAACTGTCATTATTTGCATGCATAGTTGTAAGAATTCTATTGACAGCTATATATATATATCAACTGTTATGGTCTGCTTTACAGAATAAACCTCCCCAAATATCCAGGTAAATAGCATTTACAAATTGTTGTGGTTGATTAGAATATCATGGTATTGAACACGCTTGGCTTGAAAAAATGGGGGAATACATTGAATAGTAAAACCCCAAAAAACTCAAATCGTTGGAAAATAAAAAAAAAAATCATGTTAATCAAATCAAAATATCTGTTGTAAGAACTAGCTTTCATGTATGTCATATGAAAGTAAATCTCCTTTCTTGATTTTGAAAAGATTAGTTAGAGAAATTGTGTATTACTTCATTTTCTGCCTTTAAATATTTTAACATTTGTTTCCAAAAATAAATATAATGCTTGCATTAAATTGAAAAAGTATTTGAAGTCAAAGTGATCTTTCAAAGAAAACTTAAGAAACTTTTATCATAATTTTTTTCCAGGAGTTGGTGACAGATAATTGACAGTGCAAGATGGACAATTATCATGTGCTGGAAATCATTGGGGAAGGGTCCTTTGGAAAGGTGTACAAGGGAAGGAAGAAATACAAAGCACAGGTTGGTTTATATATAATGTTAATAGGAATGTATGATTTGAGAAATACTTTAAAATTGATAATACATTAGTATTATACTTATTAAGCCCGATAGGACAGATGTAACAAACCACAGTCTAGAGGTTGTTATACAGGTACACTGAAAGGTAATGATTTCTTAAAAAAGAAAGTTTCCTGGTATTTTGTATATTGTTAGTAGCCTCTGGCAATCCACAATTAAGTGATCATTGATTAGGAATTTATGATCCATATACCATTATATGTTTGAAGTAGATTAATTTTTTTACCATGTCAGATGTTTTTTCACTGCAGTAACAATTACGTGACCTCATATTGTTATGTCACAATAACATTACAACATGTGTGTCTTGCAAAACAAACATTGATGATATGGTTGTATTATATGACAGACAGCTACTTGATAGTTATGTATGTCTTTAATAGGTCGTGGCCTTGAAATTTATACCCAAAGTTGGAAAACCAGAAAAAGAGCTGAGAAATCTACGCAGAGAAATTGACATTATGAGGGGACTGCATCATAGCAACATTATAGAAATGTTGGACAGCTTTGAGACCGATAAAGAGGTAAAGGTCACATACAAGACATTTGTAAAGTAGGTAAGGAAGTAAAGCTCATATAAAGCTTTGTTATGTAGATGATGAGGTTAAGATCTTACACAAGGACATTTCATAAACTAGGCATTATTTTGTGTTCTTCATGGATACATGTAATAACTTACCTTGGTGGAAAGTTGAACATCTTTAGAAAATATGATAATCATATCTTTGGGCAAAGATTTCACCTTCAGTATTTTATTATGATGAACAAATTGCTAGGAATAGATGTAATCAAATGTAAATTAAACAATGTTTCTAAGTATATATATTGATATTTATAGCAAAGTCTAAAGAAATATCATATCCAACAGGTAGTTGTGGTGACTGACTATGCAGAAGGAGAACTGTTCCAGATTTTAGAGGATGATGGAAATCTTCCAGAAGAACAGGTAAAATGATCAATACAGAAGTCATCTCCAATGTATCTCATGGTTTACAGCAAAGTACATGTACATGATCAGTACTTTGTTCTGTAGACAAGTGGAGGGCATTTTACTGCAAGGTACATGTACAGGACCAGTACTTTGTTCTGTAGACAAGTGGAGGGCATTTTACTGCAAGGTACATGTACAGGACCAGTACTTTGTTCTGTAGACAAGTGGAGGGCATTTTACTGCAAGGTACATGTGCAGGACCAGTACTTTGTTCTGTAGACAAGTGGAGGGCATTTTACCGCAAGGTACATATGCAGGATCAGAACTTTGTCCTGTATACAAGTGGAGGGCATTTTACTGCAAGGTACATGTACAGGACCAGTACTTTGTTCTGTAGACAAGTGGAGGGCATTTTACTGCAAGGTACATATGCAGGATGTATACAAGTGGATTTTACTGCAAGGTACATGTACAGGACCAGTACTTTGTTCTGTAGACAAGTGGAGGGCATTTTACTGCAAGGTACATATGCAGGATCAGAACTTTGTCCTGTATACAAGTGGAGGGCATTTTACTGCAAGGTACATATGCAGGATCAGAACTTTGTCCTGTATACAAGTGGAGGGCATTTTACTGCAAGGTACATATGCAGGATCAGAACTTTGTCCTGTATACAAGTGGAGGGCATTTTACTGCAAGGTACATATGCAGGATCAGAACTTTGTCCTGTATACAAGTGGAGGGCATTTTACTGCAAGGTACATATGCAGGATCAGAACTTTGTCCTGTAGACAATTTTACTGTGAAGTGCATGTTCATTATAGGGCCAGTGCATTGTTTTGTAGGCAGCAAGGTACATGTTCATTGTAGGGCCAAAACTTTGTTAAGTAGACAAGTGAAACTTCCTTTAGTAGACAGGTGAAAGACTGATTAACCAGTTAAGTGGTAACTTACGAATGCTATGTTTTATAATCACAGCATAATGCTTTCTAGTTTTCGGAAGTTCCACACAATTCTACAGATGTATTTGATGATTTTTGTTAAAATGCTACCAAGGTAATATTGTAAAAACTAGATGTCATATGTACATGTAATTGATAATTTTACGACAATATTTGTTATAACTTCAAGTACTTTTCCAACAGATGAATGGATTTTTCAAATTTTACTTGTTACAATATTTAATGTGAATGATATATAGAATACAGATATTTATGAAAGACAAACTTTTGTCAGATTAATTAAATGTTGTTTTTTTTTTTTTTTTTTTATATTTTCCTGCTCTTTTATCATGATTTAACTGGTTTGGTTCACATATTTCAATGTAATTAACATTAATTTGAAATAACAGCGTGTATTATGTTATAGTATTTGAAAGTCTGTAAATTATCAAATATTATTGAAGTGGAGATAAAATTGTCAATTAATGCTGATTTTACATAATGTGCTGTCTTTAAAAACCAATATTCATTGTGAAATACACAATACTGTTCATCTTCTGATTGCCAGGTGAAGATGATAGCATGCCAGTTGGTGTCTGCCTTGTATTATCTTCATTCTCATCGTATCCTCCATCGAGACATGAAGCCTCAGAACATTCTCCTTGGCAAGGGTGGCATCATCAAACTCTGTGACTTTGGATTCGCTCGTGCCATGAGTTTCAACACACTAGTACTGACATCTATCAAGGTCAGGGTCACATGCTGCACATGTATTAATTATTGATTGTTGCTCGTCATTTTGTGAGACAAGACTATTCAGCCTGAGGTATCATAGTGAATCTGACTAACCCAAAATTAAGCCTTAAATTGTCCTCGAAGTTTTGAAATCTACTGCATAATATTTAGATTCTCTGAATGTAATCAGTTGTATATTATTATAGCTTGTTTGGCTTCTTAAGATATATCATTTCATAACAGAAATTTGAAATAAACAAACATAAGTTGCATTTTTTCTGACACCAGCTGGCAGTAAACATCATTGGATGTGATAATTTTTAAAGAAATGATCTTTTTTGAAGGATTTATTGCAATACAGCTATATAAATAAGATTACCTTGAATTCCTAAAAGTAAATTATTTATGTAGCTGTATTGCAAATTATTTTCCCTATCTACCTACAAAATTTAATTAAATGATTTGAAATAAAGTCCTGCATAAGGTTTAGATTGACAGACTCAGCAAGTGATTTGTAGCTCATTGGCTATATTCCTTACTCTGGAATAGATGTACCATATAAGGTCTAAATTTCATGGAGGGTTGTATATGCTGAGTTAGCAGCTAAGAAAACCTGCATATATGCCACTGTCTGGGGAGATTTTTGTAGTAGATTGTTTACCCTCTGTCATCCACATGTTTGACATCTGTTCTTAAACAATTCTTATTATTGCTCTTTCTTGAGAAGTACTCCATGGATCTTCCTCAAACTTCCCATTGGTTCTTGGTATTGCTCATTTTGAACCTGCCCAGATAACCAAAATGCTGACAGGCAACCATCATGGATTTTAACAAGGAAAGTTTGTTATTGTTATTTCTGGAAAAGTTTGGGATGGATCTTTTCAAATTTCTTATCAAGGTTTCCCTCGGTTTCAAGGGTGTTATTGCTGTAAGGACTTTTCCAACAAAATAAATGGCTAGCTTAGATTTTGACAATTATGATTTGTAATTATTATTTCTTGAGAAGTCATAGATACATAATTTTCAAATTCTATATATAAGTTTATCTTTGGCTTTATTTGTGCTTAGTTGATTCAGGAACACATTAGTGAAAAGGTTAAATAAACAAATAAGGAATTAATAAAGATCATATGATGGTGGGCACTTATTGATTTTGCCAGGAAATGAACTAGTTCAAAAGAAACTATGGATTTCAAGATATTTGATAAGTAATTTTGCCTTATTTATTTTGAGAAGTGTACCTAAACAGAGGCAATATAAGAGTTGTCTAGAATTTTTGATTGTATTATAATATCTTGGCGGTTGTAAAAGAATTTTGATAAAACTGTACTACATGACTGATTATTTTGTAGGGAACACCATTATACATGTCACCTGAACTTGTTGAAGAAAAACCCTACGACCATACAGCCGATCTCTGGTAAGCACTTGACACCGATGAAATATACTGATGCAAGAAAAACTAATACTGTTAACATTTATTTGAGTGTTTTTTTGTGCTAAAAATATTGCCCTAAAACTAGAAAATTTTGTGCTGAAAACATTATTGTGTTAATTGGATTTTCTATATATTGTTTATTTGGCAATAACTGTGGATTCACTAAGTCATTGTTGTACTAATTTGCCAAAATATTATATTTTTACGAAGATTTGATTGTGCCAAATTAAGTACTTTCATAGAATGTGTATAGAGAATCCTTTGATTATGTGAGTTAATAAGAATTATTGAAGTCATGAAATGAACACTCCACTTTACCTAGATATAGAACTTAGGACATTTCACTATCCTACCAAGTCTTCCTTCCCTTGTTCACATGCATGATGTACATCAAGAAAATCACAAATACAGTCAGTGTAACAAAAATGTGTGTACAACAACTTTATAAACATGTAGATGGATATATCTATCTTCTGTTAAGTTGTTATGATGCTGTCACTTGTTATTTTTTGGTCATTTTTTGTACGTTTCCATTTTATTTATTCACATGTCCATCTGATTGATAATCTGCCATACTTTCTTCCTGTGCCTTCAGTCACTGAACACTATATGTGTATAAACCTATTCTGTATGACTTTGCTTCCAGGGCTTTAGGCTGTATCTTGTACGAGTTGTTCACAGGAACCCCACCATTCTACACAAACAGTATCTTCCAGTTGGTCAGTCTGATCATCAAGGACCCAGTGAAGTGGCCAAAAAATATGACACCAGTGTTCAAGGACTTCCTGCAGGGCCTGTTGACCAAAAACCCCAAAGTGAGACTGTCGTGGCCTGATCTGCTACACCATCCATTTGTAGTTGATGGCGTAAATGGTTAGAATTATTGAAACTACATTGAGTGTATAGTATTTGACTAAGGGAGTTGAATGTTTTTACTTTGATTATACAGAGAGAAATAATATGTGTATTGTATTGTAGATATAAGTGTCCTGATCAAGCACAAAAAAAACATGATAATACTAACTCTGTCAGGGCAATGAAAAGGTTTCTGTAATTGTATATGGTTTTTCTTTGGAAGAAAAAGGGTTACAGTGATAGTTAATGTGGAGAGAGAAAGTCTTATACCATTAGAGCTTTAACACATAAAACTCTTCCTGTTGGGGAATAAAAGATTTTAATGGCGCGAAATAATTTTTAACTTAAAGAAAACTGAGAAAAATACCTATTAACAATTTGTATGTGGGGAGAGGGGAAGAATCTTTCTGGGTTGCTTTTGATTTTTACATCTTCACTGTGTTATTTGGTATATATGTTTATAGTGCGAGAAGAAGATATCAACCTGCCAAGTCCCTTTACACAGCCCCTCACTGCCTCCATGCAGATCATGAAGGAAAAACAGGCCAAAGAGAAGGCACACCCACCTGGCACATCAAAAATACTGGCCAAGGCCAAGCGCAAGGCGATGGAGGAGGAAAAAAAGGTAAGAGAGCACTAGTGTGCCTATATTTGTCCACAATGATGTAACAACTTGATATAATGTAAATATTTTAAGAATGTGTTGATCAATTTTTTCATTGAAATTTGACCATTGAACTAAATAGTTACTTTTTTTTATGAAAAGTATTTCTATGGTTGCAGTTTTACTTTATTTATCAGTTCTCAACAGCTGTAACAACTCCATCAATACATTTTATCTTAAATCTATGATAAAGAAATTTAAAAGAATGTTCTCTCTTCACAGAAAGGAACAAGAGAGATCCCTGGTGCAGAGAAATACAACAACAATGGCAAGGAGGCTTGGGGTGATAAACCTAAAAAGAATGGAGAAACTGAAGACAAACAGGAACAACCAGCCAATGGCAATGGTGCCAAGTCTGCACCAACTGAAGGGGAGCGTCCACCTTCAGATGCAGCTTGGGTCAACACTGGGACCAGTAAGGTGAGCGAGTGCTCGCTTGTTAAGTTTCTTTACAGACAGATTTTTGGATTTATCTGGATTTTATTGTGGTGGTGTAAATATAGCATGAAAAATTTTCAAGATATTTAAGAAAGATAAATGTATATGATATTAATTTGTGTGATATAAATGGTGATTGGCACAGTCTACTGCAATACAATGTTACATTGTTTTAGCAGATTCTTAATATCAGGAAGTTTTACTAATAATTTTGGAATACTATATATAATGTGTACTTGTTTTTAATGAAAGTTACTCATTATGCTTGTAATGTCTTGCCTAATGTTTCTGCATTATTTAAAATTGTAAAGTTTGGAATCAGTTACATGTGTACTTACAATATGTTCCGTTATGAATGTGTGTTCTGCTTTTGTCAAATAAACTGTTATTATTATACAGATAATATGATGTTGTGCTTTTAAATATTGTATACAATGCATGTCATCAATCTTAATACCATACTTGTAACATGATTTTGATTTGCTGTGTTTCTAACAGAAATTGCTTTCTTATTTTTGATTTCATCAGCGAGATGAAGGTCTTGAAATAGAGGTAAGATCCTTGAGCAATCATTATTATTCACTCAATTATCTCAACAAATACATTGAATTGCATAAATACTAGATATTCTTATTAACCTTAATTGAGGTTATATATTGTATTATAACATTTAAAACTTTATGTTTTTATGCAAAGTTAATTGCTTCATGTACACATTGGAACAACACCATTAGTTACTGTTTGTATCCTCAGAATGTGTACCAGTATCTGTATGTAAATTACCTATTTTCATTTTTTTAATTTATAGATATTGATATATATGTAACCTTGCTAGCACCAAGCGACTAGATGTTTTATACTCTGTCTACTACATCAATTCTAAGTTTGTCGAGGTATCATGTCGCCCAGCCCATATCTTAAGATATTGATATACATGTAACCTTGCTAGCACCAAGCGACTAGATGTTTTACACTCTGTCTACTACATCAATTCCAAGTTTGTCTAGGTATCATGTCGCCCAGCCCATATCTTATATTCTTATGTCTGATTGTAATGTAGTTCAATATCATGAAATAATTTGTAGTTACAGCACTTTATTCACATTGTGTAACTTTTTTCATGGAATCATACTGCTTCAAATTGAAATGATTTGTGTGTCATTTGCTGCAATTTGATCATGTATCATAGCATATATAAGGTCTCTTGTTCCTAATGAATTACATTATGTTGGAAATATCTCATTTCTCTTTCTTACGAAGACTGAATTGTGTAGGTAAAACTGAGTATCATTCCTATTATAACTAGGAATGGCAGAGTCTTATGACTCACAGTATACTACAGTTATTGTTCTTTTTTCATTTGAAGTAGTGGAATATAGTTTGCTGATAAACTATTATTATATCAATAGTATTTCAGTGAATTTCAGTTTCAACGAGTCGTGTAAACCTGAACAATATAAAAAATGTGTGAACTTTGTGATGTTTGTAGAACCTTAGCCCTACACCAAGAACTGATCGGATAAGTAAGGACTATGAGAAAGAATACCCGAGTATAGAGATTGAAGGCCGACGCACTGTGAGACGCAGTCCAGACAACAAAAAAGAAAAACGCAAGAATATTGAGAAAGTCAAACTTGAAGGGGAGGTGAGTGAAAACTGAAAGAACCTATTTTAGATTAAAATGGTCTTTGTTTCTTTAATCACATTTACAGACTTAAATTCAGTTATTAAAACTGAAAACTTTTTAGTGATTTTTTTACTGTAACAGTGGAAGAAAAAGTATTTGAGTTAATCATTACTAAGAGTTAATCATTACTAAGAGATAAATGGAGAAGATTTGGCCAAGCCTGGGAAAACACTGGAGTTAAACAGGGTCACTTGGTTATCACAGTTTCAGATATTGATAATGTATAGTATATAAACCTGATTTTTAAAAAATGAAGGAAGTTTTCTTGATAAAGCCCTACAGTCATCATCAGATTTAATGTTTCATGATTCATTAGATATCGTATATAAACATGAGTAGGAAAAATCTTTTGTGTACCCACAAGAACTGAACCTGTTGATTAAAATCTACAGTAAAGGAGTGTTGGATGAAAAGTGTGTTTTAACCATGGCAGAGGGCATTTCTTTGGATAGGAATTTTATTGTAGGAAACAATATTCATTATACATGTGTATGAATAGGATGGATTGAAAAAGAGCACAACTTTAATAACATGTTTATATTTATCTGACAAATTATCTAATTAAGAATTATTTAAGTAATTTTTGACCATTGTCACTAAAATTGTGTATATTTGGTGACCTAGGATGTAGACAGTGACGACGAGTGGCAGGGTCTGATTGATGCCACAGACCAGGAGGGAGACCCAGAGGTTGCTATGAAACTTCTTAAGGATCAGAAATTTCATGGAAAGCTGAAGACAAGGATAGGCAACAGCTCTGGTCAAGTATTAGATGGGATGCTAGAAGGTGCAGCCAGACTACGGACTGTCCTGAGAGTGGTCACTAATCTAGTGACCATTAAGTGGTCAGTTGTAATAATTTAGATATCTTTAATGGGTAAAGGATTTTACAATTTAAAGATTTCTTTTTAATGTATAAAAGAGTTATGTTTCATGAAAATAATTTGTGTTTTTCTTCCAACATGTAAACATTGTGTAGGGGAAATTTAACTTAAATATGCTAAAGACTTTCGGCCATGAAAATTCCATCCACGGAAATGAAATTATGACATATTGCACATTATTGTTTATATCATGCGAAGTTACATAGATGGAGAAAATGACCCACCAACAGTTTGCCTGTTCAAAAAAATATGTTTACAGTAATGGATGACATTATGACCAAGTATTCAAAGTCAAAATAATTTTTTTTAGTATATATTTTATAATTCTATCATTATAGTAATTATCAATGGCCAACAAAATATCTACAAGTAAAGTTGAAATCTAAGATGATGACCTTTTTTTACTTAACAGTGAAGTTAAACTTATCCTGGACTTTCTCAAGGCTCTGTCCATTCCCAAACAAGTCTTACAGCTGATTACAGAAATCCTGGAAAAGTCAAAGGTCAAACAGGTGTGAGAAAGAATTCATTTCATTGTTATAGTTAAAGCAACATTTAAAAAATATTATTGAATACTTACTATAAATAACAATGTGAATTAATCAGTACTTCAAACGGCATCAGGTAACAGGACAATTAATGTGCCTTATATAGATATATGTTTTATATATATTATTAAGCTAAAAGAAGAAAAATAAAGAGTGATGGTTTTTATTGTTACAGCAACCTTGGTGTCAGCAGATATTGATGGATCTAGTGATAGCCCTGAATGCTTACTTTGCCTGTGAGATCAGTTGGTGTGATCAGCTAGAGAAGGAAGTGTGAGTGTGTCAATACTTACAAATATCTTATCAGTGATGTCATTTTCAGGCTCTTTGTGCTGACCTCTATGTGTCTATTAAAGTGTTATGGAATTTTTTATATTGTAACTATTATTACATGAAGATTGTATGAAAGAAAAGTGAAAAAATGCCACTGATTTGCACTGAAAAGCCAAGCAATGAGTTGAATGCACTTGCCCAATAATTTGAAAAGTTCCATGGTTTATATATATATATATGAACCTGATAATTTCAGAAAAATGTCAAGTACAGGTGTATATTCTGAACTGTGTTGGTCATGCAAATATTATTTTTTCAGAATAAGACTTCAAATAAAAAAATGAATGTTGCACTGTTACTGAATCAGTACAATATTAAGTGTATAGTATATATAATGTATATACCAGTATGTGGGTTTGGGTTGAAGGGCAAAGCTGGAACTTGCTTTGTTAGTCTCCCATCATCAAATAATGAAATGAACCAATCATCTGATGTCAGTGGTCCCTATCTATCATGAAACAAGGAAATCTTTCTCTACTTTCCATAGTTTTCTCCTTTCGGTCCTTTGTTATTAGTGTTTCAGGTTTCATTTTACACTAAGAAAGAGATGGCCATCTTATATTTTGAGAGTTACGATTTGTTACCATTATTTAGAGATGAAAACAGATATCTTTATCATGTATGTTGATTAACCTGAAATGATCTCTAGTAGTAATCTAGTTGTAACATGAGATTAAGAAAAAAATATCCTGGTAGACAGTTTCTTACTTCTATGTCACTTCACAAGTCTGTGTGTCTACTGACAATGCTACTTTGAAGGGACATTTAAGCATAATACAATTTAATGCGTGAAAATGTTTAATATGATTAAACATCATCTATACTGTCAATACAACAAATATTGACATGAAAATAACAGATCATGTTTAAATAAAAATAGAGATGTAGATGATGTGACTGTGGGTACAATGATGCCGCTGCAATTTCTTGTTCAAGCAAAGAGATATGTGATTAAAATATTTATGTATATGTAATGTTTTCATCATCAATTTACACATAGCTTGGCTAATGAATTAATTTTGTTGACACAGGATACAGGAGTACTATGATGCTATGCTACAGTTTATGTCCCTATTCCCCAAGTTGGTCTGTCTGCCTGCAGATGAGGACTTAAGACTGAGGGAGCAAGCTGTCTTGGTAGGAATCTATAATTTACTTCTTAAATAAAACCATAATCAGTTCTAATAAGCCTTGTCAATGTTCTATCAGAGTTTACCTCTTGGAAGTCCAGTGTTAGTAAAAAATATTAATTTCCCATTAAAATTTTGAACAAACTGCAGTTGTAAGCATGTGATAACAACATCCTCTTGTTAAACAAACTGTATTAGATACATTTTAATGACAGTTTTCTGTTTGGCGAGTCTGTAATGTATTTTATATTTAACTTTTTAGGAGATTATTAAAATTTTCATATCTTTTCATTCCTAACTAGAAGCATTCTATAAACATTTATCTTTGAAGTAGTGTAATCTATGGTCTGTGATTGCAGTGTGGAATGTTTACATGTGAGGTAATGGAGAGAAACAAGTTACATCTAGCAAACCAGTACTTCACCCAGTTAGCCAGTAAACACACAGCAGCCATAGATGCTCTGCTAGAATGTACCAAACCAGATACTCAGATACTCAAAAAACTCACAGGTAAATCAGAGGGATTTTTTCTTTGTAAAAATAGCCTTCATGTCAAAGTCTGTTATACGTATGTGTTTAACTACGTAAAATTGATAAATGAAAACATGACTGATTGTTTACTTAGAAATGACAATGATGGATGTTAATACTACACCAGTAGTTTATGTTATTTGAACAGTTGGTTTTGAAATAACAAGAAAAAAGATTACATCGTAATACCAACAATAAAAGGATTTTTGTTACTTTGGATAAAAAGATCTGAGATTTTTCTTTTTTATCAACTGAGTGAGAAAGATCAGTTGTCTCTTACATATCAGAATTTTGATAGATAGGGCTGTGGTTGGTTGTGACCATGCTGATATTTTTATGTGGTATGTAATATGAAGACATTTGAAATCAGATATACAGTGCATAGAATTGATCCCTACCAGAGGCAGTTTGTGTTTCTTTGGAAACAAATATTATGGTGTCGAGTTTGTGTTCCTGGGCAAGATACTTTATCCACAAGTAATCATTATTCTGATCGTTAGTTTAACATCTGTTATGTCAACTCGATGTTTCAGATCTAGCTGAAGGTAATGGTAATGCTGCTGCAGAGAGGATGGATACTCTGATACAGATAGCAGTGACCACATTATCTGTTATGGTCACTCTTCCCTTGAGTCCTGATGAGGGAGCAGATGGACGTAGAAAGGTACATCAAGCAAAATTCTATTGACAGATTCTGAAATCAACCATGTTTATAAACTTGAAAGTGTTTTAATAGCATGGAGTAATTTTAAGAGTTGTTCAAGCATTGCCTCTACAACAGATACCAGATCAGATGAGAAATTCATCAGAACTGTCTCAATTCAATGATTACAGGTAGCCCATTATTTGGGAGATAAGCTGGCATCCAAGGGTGCGGAACAGTTAACTGATGATTTTCTGCTATTAGCTCGACACCCTGGCCACTGTACAAACGTTTTAAAGGTAAGTGGAGTTATCTAATATTGTAACAATAAACTGGAAGATTTGCTCTTATGTTTTCAGCTGTGTAAGTTAAGGCACATGTAGATAAAAATGTAAAAAAGCCAAATACATGTACTGTATATTTTAGTCAACACAACTAAGTTTATGTCTGTGATTTCATGGCAGTGATAGATAATGTCTTCTAAAAATTTGAGAAATGTGAAGAAAGAATTGCCAACAATGTACTGGCTAATTTACCTGACAATATATTTTGTTTCACAGGCTAATTTACCTGACAATATATTTTGTTTCACAGGCTAATTTACCTGACAATATATTTTGTTTCACAGACTAATTTACCTGACAATATATTTTGTTTCACAGGCTAATTTACCTGACAATATATTTTGTTTCACAGGCTAATTTACCTGACAATATATTTTGTTTCACAGGCTAATTTACCTGACAATATATTTTGTTTCACAGGCTAATTTACCTGACAATATATTTTGTTTCACAGGCTTATTTACCTGACAATATATTTTGTTTCACAGGCTAATTTACCTGACAATATATTTTGTTTCACAGACTAATTTACCTGACAATATATTTTGTTACACAGGCTAACTTAGGTGATTTAGATGTGCTCACAAGTTTTGTCTGTGTTTTGTGAATGTATTAGCTGATTTACCTGACTGTATTTTTTTCTCAGGTGATTTACGCGTGCTCACAAGTATCGTCTGTGTTCTGCTCATACATTTCTAACCAGTTAAAACACATGGATTCTCTCATGGGTGTTCTCATGGGCAAGGTAAGCCATTAGAAGGATGAAAAAACAGGGATACCCTGAGTATTAGCCCAGTCTTCTGTCTATAAAAGACAAGGGAGATGTGTTCAGTTTTTGGCGTCCATCTGTTTAGGGTGTTGACTTGAATGATATGATGTAAAATAGTAAAATTCATCATAATCTTACGATCAGTTGAGTTTTTGTGGTAGAATATATGAAGTATAATTATCCTTTTTTTGATATGAAGGAAATTGTTACAAATGATTTATTCAAAAGTCTGTGATACTGTAAAAGATCGAGAATTCAGAATGATTTATAAAGTAATTTTTGTTATAGTTGCACTATGATATTGGTGGTGTATGTAAAATTCTGCAGTCTGCCTGACAACAGAAAATTGTCTGCAGTGCCTTTAATCTGAATCAAATGGCCAGACATCCAGTTGTTTTGATTTTCAGTAATTGATGGAAATATTGTATCTTTGTACAACAGGTGGAAATACAGGACATGGAAATTAATTCTGTGATAGAGATGATTCTACACGTGTTCAGTACCATAGTGATACAGCTACAGACGATGCCACAAGTCTTGTCAGAGTCCGCCTCAGTCATGGTGTCCATCTTCCTCGAGTCAACCATTGCTAGTCACACCGTGAGTACTGTGATGTTTCTATTTTGTTGGCCAGGTTGCACATAATGTAAATCTGGGTTATAGTATGGTAAGTGTCCGGCGGGTGGGTGGATGGGTGGGGAAAAGGTGGAAATCAAAACTACTAAAAAAGTTTAGTAGAATCAACTCCTCCTAGAGATCAAATTTTCCTAGAGTTTTTAGGTCATCTGACTGAAGGGTCTGATGACCTGCTGCGATAGCCATCTTGAAAACACATTTTCGAAAATTTGAAATCTTGTATGTTAGGTCAGATGACCGTTAAGGCCCATGCGCCTCTTGTTGACATAGAAGCTTGAAACTCTGTAGGATGTTTATATATATGTTGAAGATGTGCACCTCTTATTATGGATTCATTCAAGACATTTTCTTGATTTTCTGGACTATGGAACTTAATCATTTTCAACAGTATGGCATGGAAAATCCCAAGATGGCAGCCCTTGCCTCTTATAACAAATATTCTACATACTCAACGAATGAAACACCTTTATCTGTCTTATAAATACCATATAACATTGCACTCATCCTGCAACCTGGCCAATGGTGGCTTTGCCCCATTTTTTTAAATTATGAATCTGAAATGTTTTAATTAAATATCTTCTTTTTATTTTTATGAAAAACAGTTTGAACATCCAGTGAAGTTGAATTGTTTCACAGAAAATAAACTTATTTCTTTGTAGGCTGCAGCTGCATTACTGTTTAGTCAAATGATATACTGTGGAATCTCTGTGGAGGTACAGCCAGAGGAAATGTTACAAGCTTGTCTATCTGTCTTCACAGATCTACAACAGGTAAATCAGAATTTAGGTACTTAGCGAAACTCACTGAAATCTTTATATAAACCTCTCCGAAAGGCTTTATGACCAGAAAGTAGATTAAGAGCTGTTAGTAAGTTATTTAAAAAATGAACAACCCAGGTCCAACCACATTAAGTGAAATTGCGGATGAGTTTGAGACAGTTTTGACTTCGGGACTTAGGAGGGATATTTATTTTATCAATATAATAAAAGCAACAGAGTTGTTACTGGAGCAGGAGTATGGGATCTTTGTGTGGCTAGTGGTAAACTTATCCAAATTTAAGTTCTTTATGTTTGTTTTTTCACAAAAATTAAGAAAGCACAATAGTGTACATTCTGTTATTGTGGTTTTGTCACATACATGTATTTTCTTTTCATTTCAATAGTTATATTTCCACAAACAAGCACTTTTCAATAATGGATATGGTTTTGATAGATATGAGAATAGAATGTTTATATCAGACATTTGAAGATTGGCATAAAGATAATTCAATCCATCAGGTTCATTTAGTTATAGCTAACAACCCATTAAAATGTCATCTGTTTATATTATTGAATGATTTCTAACTATATAGAGGCTCTCACAGATTTGTATTGTATTCAAAATTTCAAATGGTGTTCAATTATGTAGAGGCTCCACAGAGTTAAGCTGTACTTTAAATTTCAAATGGTGTTTAACTATGTAGAGACTCTCACGGTGTTAAGCTGTACTTTAAATTTCAAATGGTGTTTAACTATGTAGAGACTCTCACGGTGTTAAGCTGTACTTTAAATTTCAAATGGTGTTTAACTATGTAGAGACTCTCACGGTGTTAAGCTGTACTTTAAATTTTAAGTGGTGTTTAACTATGTAGAGGCTTCACAGAGTTAAGCTGTACTTTAGATTTTAAGTGGTGTTTAATTATGTAGAGGCTCTCAGTGTTAGACTGTACTTTAGATTTTTAATGGTGTTTAATTATATAAAGATTCTCACAGAGCTAAATTTTCCTTTATTTGTAACTTTATAGATATCCCACTGTTATTATCAGGTAAACCTATTGCACCCCTGTATCCATCTTTTGTCTGTTTTCTGTCTTGTGCTATCTGCTGAACATTGTCAAACACAAGGAATGATATCCAATTTTAGGCCAAGGATACCTTGCTTTCAAAACTGACGATCTTTCTCTCTGAAATACCCACTAGAAAGTATATCTTTTTTAGCAGTAGTAAGTATGTGTACTATAAAGCAGTACAGAAGTTTTTATTATTTTTTTTTTTTGTTGCATTATATTTCTGTGCACCAATTTATTTCAAATTTAACGAAGGGAAAGGGATATTATTTGACTCGGGTTACAGTGAAAACTGAAATCAGTTACATTCCTAACAAAATAAAAGGATTTTATTTCCAGTTTGATGATTAGGGAAACAGTATCATTGATTTATAGCTTGTTCCTATCTTAAAGAAGTATTAAGTGACAATGTATAAAATGCTGTATGAGATAAGGATACTACAGTACAACAGTCATTTTTACATCCCAATGTCTTTTCGTCTTCTTTAAAGTCCTTGGTACAATTCTGATGACCCCGAGAAAAGTAATTTATTAAGTGTCAGGTTTGGTTACAATGATCACATCACCAACAAAATGTATTGTACTTTGCTTTCTTTCTGAAAGGTATTAGGGCAATGGGTAGATCATTGCTACTACTTTCCTATCCATATGTCAAACTGTTAATTTAGCCTATGTTTCCTATTCTGGTAAAACACTGTGTTGCATCATCATCGTCGTCGTCGTCGCCGTCGTCGTCGTCGTCGTCATCATCATCATCATCATCAATGTGAGGTGTTGCATTTTATTGTATTACCTGTTGTTTTGGTCCAGTTTGATTTGCTCTAAAAATGTCTCGCAGCTAGACCATTTTTGGAGCAGCAAATACAAGTCAGACTGACCTAGTGTATATTGATGAGCTCCAATCCTAAACCAACTGACTGCAGGCAGCTCCAATCCTAAACCAACTGACTGCCCTGCAGGCAGCTCCAATCCTAAACCAACTGACTGCCCTGCAGGCAGCTCCAATCCTAAACCAACTGACTGCCCTGCAGGCAGCTCCAATCCTAAACCAACTGACTGCAGGCAGCTCCAATCCTAAACCAACTGACTGCAGGCAGCTCCAATCCTAAACCAACTGACTGCCCTGCAGGCAGCTCCAATCCTAAACCAACTGACTGCCCTGCAGGCAGGGTTTAGGGCTTGTACATACTATCCTGATCGTATGAACCTTTAGAGGTGACTAAACTTGCAATTTTAATAGATTCTCCCCTTACTTAATAATATATTTCTTGAGACTTAATTTGATAATGCCTGACTTTTTGGCATAGAGTTCAGTGTCTAGGAGAAGGATTGACGGAATCTCTCAAATGACTGAAGCAAACCAAAGAATATGAAATTAGTACTAGCTTCTTGCTTCCTGCAAGACTGGTGACACAATGGTCATTAAAAGGTATACTACTGTGTCTAGGTTATGATATTTCAGTGTGACAGCACTATTAAAGTATTGTTGAGTGGTAATTTTTTTGTGGACACTGACTCATTTATGAGGATGTATGACACAAAACAAAGACCAAGAGAACTTTTGTGTAGGTATATTCTAAATATCAGACAACATTTGGGTCTAATTACATGCTAATGTTTCATGGTGAGGTCTTTTTCTTCAAAAATGTTAGTGTACAACTGACTAAACATTATTGAAATACTGTTACAGTCAATATTCATTGTCTGGATGCATGACTTGGATGTTGGATATGATTACAATACATTGTTGTTATTTTTCCACAGTCAATATCTGCTTGTGTGCAAGTGAAAAAGTCATAAGCACTCTTCCAATGCACTCGGGGAAAAAAAAGAAAGAAAAAAAACAAGTTATTGATTTGAGTTTATGAAACTCGTTTTGATGTGTATTATGTACAGTTTTGTTTCATTTGATAAGCATTGACAGAAGATAAATTTATGCTGTATTATGCTAGGCTGAAATTCAGGTCCATCAGAAGTCCCACCTGGTTAACATGACAACCTTACCTATATATGGAAAAAAGTATGAAATGGCCTAGTGGTAATAAGTACTGGTAGTCAAGTGAGACAACATTGTGTACATTTATCAGTACCATTTGGAATGTTAATAAAACTAATTTTTATAAACAAGCTAGATTGTTTTTATACATGATAAAATGAAATATAGTTGGGAACATGCTGGGACATTTCCTCATATCTATTTAATTAGAATTTGAAAGAATTCAAAGTTAACAAACAAAAAAGGGTATTTTCAAACTTTAATATCAAACATCATTTTTGTTCAGAATATCCATGTTTGAAATCTAATTTTTGAAAAAAATAAAGCAATGAGAATGTGAAAAGAGATTTAGTTTTAAAAAAATTACCAGTTAAACTGTATCCATATATTCATCTTGAATATTTCGTATCTAATGCAAGCTGAAACTTGAGTCAAGACCCAAACAAGAGGATTTATTGCTAAAGAGACATTAATATATAGCAATTTACTGAGAGCTATAAGGAAATTGAGATGTAAATTTTACAAAATTCTTGTTTTGTGATTTCAAAAATATGTTTTATCTTTTTTTCCACATGTCAGCATCAGTTTTAAGTTTAAATGTGTGAGTTAAAAGGTGTTGTTGTTCATTGTTACAGATCTGTGTACGATGCCCTTTTGACTATGGTGTATTGGATGGTCTGCTGCTGTTACTGTGTGAGATGCTGGCACAGGTAATGGAAGTTTATTTCTTGTTAAGAATTCAACAAATCACTAATCAATTAGCCGACCAAATGCTGAAAACACACTTTTACTTCTACTTTGAATTTCTTGAAAGAAGTTGTATTTGTGTCATACAAAGGAATTGTTTTTTGGAATATCACAATAGTTTTATGCTAAAAGTTGTACATTTTTCAGAATTCCCTTGGGATGGATGGTTGAGGATTGAGTAATATATAACTGTTCTATTTTAGTATGAATTATGATCTTGTTGTCTGGTTTTTAAAGGCAGTACATAACTTCAGCACATGCTCAGTAACATTACATTACATGGACATCATTTCCCTAGTAAAATTTGGACGTTTTAAAGCATTTTGGTGATAAATGTACCACAATGAAGAATTATTAAAGGATTGTATGATAAAAAGAAAAGAAAATTGGATTTGTCAAAAGCAGTTGATAATCTGATTGAGTTCAACTGAAAATGAAGACTTTGTTGATGTAATCGTGATAATCTGCTGTATGGATTGTAGGCAGAAGGCCCTGTAGCCCAGATGTACATAGACACAGGTATATGGGGGACACTCTGGCACAGAGTAGCTCAGGCATTACAGGTGACCAACCCAGAGACAGACACACCTATTCATGACATTGAAGAGGAAGGGGGACCAGTGTCTGGTTTCCATCCCCCAGACTGGACACTTGTGTCCCCACAGGGTCTCATGGCTGTGCTTCAGATGTCAGTCACTGTCTTCACCAAGGTACTTAAGGGTTGTACATCTCAATTCTTATTAAATTGTCAAACCTGCAGTCTTTAGCAGCTTTAATATAGGTGGTATTTATCACAACATGGTCTACTGGCCAAAATCAAGTTCTCACTAAGGTAATGAAGGCAGTATGCTATTGATCTCAACCATTCATGGCTATAAGTTTACTTAAGTGGGGATGTACTTACAGATTAAGGACTATGAATTGCTTGTTACATGAACATTGCCTTTTTATCAAATTCTGTAAGAGAAAAGAAATTGCATATAATCTGCAAATCCTGTTTTCAGGAAACAAACCAATGTATTCCTAACCTGGCTGTACCAGACAGTATTATTCTTCTGACCATAGCACATCTCCTTAACAAAGACTTCCTTGCTGCAATAGTCACCAGGTAAGGACACAATTGGTAGGATTCATCTCACTGTTTCCTATTAGGTAGATAAGCATTTTAATGGTACATATTTTTCATAGGGATGAAATGTGTTAAATGACAAAGAAGACCATTGCACTTACCTTGGACCAGTGGCGTGCCGGGATGGAAGGCCAACAGGTTTATTTCCTTGTCCCAATGTCAAGGTCATAACATTCAAATATAAAAGTACTGATATAGCGCTGTTGTATATGCTTTAATGAAGGGCTACCAGGTTTGATCAGATGAATGACCTTGCATCAGTTCCAAGGTCACAAGTCAAATGAACAATATCTAGGGAAAAAAAGGCATAGAAATAACGTTTGAAAAAAATTTAACTTTGACCTTTCAAAAATCACAGGTGTTAAAAAAAACACAGGTCGCAATGATAAAATGTACTTAACGTAGCAAACAAAATCAGATGACAGTTGAGGGATGCAGACTTATTTTGGATTTTGTTTTTATACATTTTGTGTACAGTTGTGATACAAGATATATTTTGTGTACAGTTTTGATATAGAGAGTATATTTTGTGTACTGTTTTTACATAGAGAGTATATTTTGTGTACTGTTTTGATATAGAGAGTATATTTTGTGTACTGTTTTGATATAGAGAGTATATTTTGTGTACAGTTTTGATATAGAGAGTATATTTTGTGTACTGTTTTGATATAGAGAGTATATTTTGTGTACTGTTTTGATATAGAGAGTATATTTTGTGTACTGTTTTGATATAGAGAGTATATTTTGTGTACTGTTTTGATATAGAGAGTATATTTTGTGTACAGTTTTGATATAGAGAGTATATTTTGTGTACTGTTTTGATATAGAGAGTATATTTTGTGTACAGTTTTGATATAGAGAGTATATTTTGTGTACTGTTTTGATATAGAGAGTATATTTTGTGTACAGTTTTTACATAGAGAGTATATTTTGTGTACAGTTTTTACATAGAGAGTATATTTTGTGTATATTTTAATAGAGTACATTTTGTATACAGTTTTGATACAGAGGGTGTGCAGTTGGCAACAGACATCATCCTCCAGGTGACACAGCTGTGTTGTTTCCCCTTTGCAATAGATTTACCTGATGACCTCCTCACTGAAGTACAGAGGTATACTAATTTTTATGTCTTTTTTTTTTTAACTCTTCACATATCCTTTATTGTCAGCAGTATGTTATCCTTAATTCTTCATCAAAACAGTAATGAAGACTTTTTAAAATCCTTTGATGAAATGTTGTCAAATTGATTTACAATTTCATCATTTAAAAATATGGATTAACATGGAGTGAATAGAGCACTCTCCTCTCTTATAAGTACCGTTTATTAATTATTTTAGAAAATGAAAATTTGAAAAATTGGATGAAAAAAGTATTGCTGGTTCTATATTTGTCTATAAGGTTGTGCGGAACAAGAGTCGATTCTGTTTCTTATTTTCCATGAAAGTTAAAAAATTTTATTGTGTTTTCCTCTTAGTTGCCTGTTCTCTGTAAATATGCTGCCACGACTCTTACATGCCTGTAATAAATACCTGAAGCAGGGTCAAATGGAAATGCCCCTCGGCCTCATCCTACACCTTGTTCTCGGCAGTGATGACTTCATGGACAAGTTCATCAAATCTCTTAAGGATCTTAAGGTGGAACTTTATAAGAATACTTGTAACATGTACAGCTATATTTATTTTACAGAATCAAACTTGCATATAAAATACAATCTATGAAGCTAATAACAAATTTATGATGATATTTACTTACTGTCTGTCCACATTTAAAACTTGTACCTACAGCAGATTAACATTTTGATTCCCAGAAATTTGGTGTAATCATTATTTTTTGCAAATTCAAATTCACATCTAGTCTGTAGATCTGTTGGATAGCAGCAGATATTACAGAAGATTTCATCTGTCTGGATTGTGATAAATTTTTGTATGATTATAGGAAGACTTTTTCATTTGTTTTGCGGTATTTTCAGTTGTGGTTTTGTTTTTCTAGGCCCTGTCATTTCTAAGTAGCTGTGTACAGTCGTCCAGTCAAGAGTCCGTTATATGTGATGTTATTTCCCTGTGTAATCATCTAGTCAGATCATCTAAAGATAATTATCAACTCGTCAAGTCTGTCTTCCATGGTAGTAAGGGTAAGTTTTCTTCTTCAGATATCGTAGTCAGACCATCCCATGATAAATACAAATTTGTCAAGTGCGTCATCATTGGTAGTGAAGATGAGTTATCTCTCTTTGTAATCGTTAATTCAGATTATACAAAGATAATTACCAGTCGTCCCCATTAGTGAGGTTAATAAAATGAAAAGAAAATAATTATATCATTCTCAGTTTTTACATTTTAAAACTAAGTAAGGATTGCAGCAGCATTGAAAATAATGTATTGAGACTAGTACTGCTTGTACCAATTATTATGTGTGTGCCTGCAGGTGATTATGAACCCCTGTCTGCCTTACTGCGACACCGGTCAGGAGTCGTCAAGTCCAGAACATGTAGTTTGATTGGTAATCTCATGAAACATCACGGTCAGTTCTACGCTATCCTTAAACAGAGGTGAGTACAAGTACATTTTAAGTCTAGACTAATTAATAGTAAATGTTTGCTACCGTCTGTAAAAATCAAACTTTTGTTTTTATTAATGAACACAAAATGATATGCCATATAACAACATATGTGAGGAAATAAACCTTAAAAGGGCCAATGTATTCTCTCAAAATGTCAGTAATTAGTGTTCATATCTTGATTCATACACTTTGCATTAATTATTTTAATTTTATACAGTTAAAACAATAAAACAGAAAATGTTCAATTGGAGATCAGATATTACAGTAGTACTTAGCCCAAGTAGGTTAAAATCTGATTTTGTATTGAGCTGAACTGATGAGGCAAAGAATTTAGAAGCAGTTCAACTTGATATTCTTGATACTTAGCAATGTATCCATACAATGTTATCTGTAACATGAATTTACTAAATTTACTTTTGACTATTTTACATTTTAGAGACAAAATCCTTTCTGGGTTGATAGCTGCTCTCAAGGATGATGATCCCCATGTTCGCAAGGTAAGTACTTGTTTAGTGAATAGCGGGCATTAAGTACACACTGACAAACAATATCTCATTACTACTCTTCTCATTCCTCTTCTGCTTGTCTTCTTTTTATGTTCGCTCAAAATTTTTGCGGGAGGCATATACTTGCAGCTTTGGCTGTCTGTCCATTCATGTCTGGAGCAGAACTTTGTCTACAGTAAGGATTATGAAACTTGGAATGTCCATTGGTTAAACTAAGTCAGGGTGCAGTGTTCGAAGTTATTACTGGTTGTTAAAATTTTGTATCCAGAGCATCCTTTTGTTTGCTTTTAAACTAAAATAACGAGTCTTGGTGTATAGATTTGACATACTTAGAGCATGTGCAGTGTTCCAAATTCAGGGCCAGGTGTCTGGTGCTTAACTTAAAATTCAGTTAAATTATGACAATGAAGCTTGGTGTATACATTGGTTATACTGAATGTACAGTACAGAATTATTGTCCTGTATTTGTGTCCTGTAAAGTTGTTTTCAGGAAGCATTCATCAGTTTCATTGATACTCTTTTTCCTTTACACAGCAAACTACCACAAGACAATGTAGTGTATGTGTTGCTATGAATGATATCTTTTTGAGAACTAATGTTCTATTCTTAGGGAGCCAGCTATGCAATAGGAAACGCTGCTTTCCACAATGCTGACCTTTACGCCAAACTTCGACCGGTCATTCCAGTCCTCATGGATCTGCTGCGAGACCCTGTCTCAAAAACTAAGGCTAATGCTGCCAGTATGTATTGTATCTGTTTACGTATGTAGCAGATAGTTCAAGGTTTCTGTTAAATATCAGT